GAGTGAAAATCACGTATCGGGCTTTTCAGTCAAAGAAAAGCTCATGAAAAAAAACGCCTTGCGTAACCATCTTCTAATGCGTGTCAAATACTCTTTAGCAACTATATGACATATGATTTGTCATTATATTCAAAATGTAATTTTCTATCGAATAAAGTAAAAAAATACAGAGGGTGAACAGAAGAAAGGTAAGAGAAACATTAGAAGATCAAATCTATTTTTTCAAGGAGCTTTGATTAAAAATTAGTGTTTTTAACAGAGCCATGGAGATTGAAATTTGAAATATGATTTTTCTTTAAGGGAAAATATCAAAAGTTGACATGTGATATGTCATTCTATTCAGAGTATCATTTTCCATCGAATGAAGTAAAAATATAACAAAGGTGCCATTTAAAAATCAAAAGTTGTAGTCATTTCCGGTGAAACAGGAAGTGACCGAAAAGAATTGAATACGTCAATCAATCCTAATTTATGTCATATACTAACATACCGAATCTCGTTTTTTTATCTGATAAAATAAAAAAGTTATAGGGGTGAGCCACTTTTGAGACGCACCCGGTATACATAATATCTATTTTATAAAAAAGTTGACTTTGATGGCTTAAATCTATAATATTCTTTGCTTAAACACAGATAGTTATCTATGGTTTACAACTCATTAGGTAGGTACTCAATTTAAAAACATTATTTGATATCCAAAAAATACGGCATTAAATTAACTCGAATATATGTTCCGGGTGGCCAACTAAGAATGGACGCCGGCTGTATCTCAGGAACTACTTATCGTAAAACTTTGGGAAAAAAATTGTAATAAGTAAATCGACCAAAAGAAATCGCTGGAAATTATTTTCAAGTTCTAAAAATGTCCGCTAGGAGGCGTTTCTCTGATAGCAAATCAGAAAACAGGTTTTTTTCTCAAAAATATGCAGGTGAACAGGTATTTTAAATATTACTGTTGTAATCATCGAGAAATTTGTATTTTTTTTGATATAGAGTATTTTGCTCTATCTCATAAAATAAAGTGATGGGGGAAGGTTAAACTTGCTTTTATTAAAATAAGGATAACTCTGGTTTAGGTTAACCGGTTTAAACAAACTAGGGCTCGTTTAAAATAGCTTTTCTTCCTTAATGATCTCCAGTAGTAATCAAAGTAAATTTTGTTTCTAGAATTTTTTTCGTTGTAACTAGAGGGCGCTGTTTGACATCATAACAGATATTGCGCTTTTGCATAAAAAATTTAAATAGGATGCTATATTTCTCTTTTCACAGTTAAATAGAGCACAAAATTTCCAAAATATTAGCGCAAACCGCAACTTTATATCTTCTCTCTAACGGGAGATATTTAGAAAATAAATCATACTAGGCTGTCGCCTAGGATTATAAGGTCTAAAAATTATAGTAGTAGGCTAGGAAACAAGAAGAGGTAAATTGGTTACGTCAAAATTACGTTTAAGTTCAGTTTTCATGCATCCTAATTTCGGGCGTTTTCTTAAAAAAATGACGCCATAAATGTTTAAACGTGCTTATGTAACATTATCGTCCATTCATATAATTTTTACGAATTTCTTGGTTAATTATACGTCCGTAGTTTTCAGATTAAAATGTCCGAAAGTCGGACAATCAATAATTGTATTAAAATTTCTAGGAATTTTGTGCCGCCATATTGCTTTTAACAGAAAACGGCCGAATTTCGTATGACCGAAAACTAGGGGTTTATTTCATGTTACGTCATTTAGATATTAATCCAAGTTCGTTTGTTTTAGCTGTTGTTTGTGTTATTTATCATTATATTATAAAGTATTTATGTCGTCTGGGTCATTTTTCATATAGCGCTGGTGCGATAGGAAGGTGCGAATCTTAACCATATGCACCATTCACTATTGGTCCAAATCTACCCTTTATGCAATTAGTTAGGTAAATTTTTAGGTAGGAATTCTAGGAGGGCGAATGATTGGACTTTTTTAATATCTGAATGAAATGAACTATCTATAATTTCTAAGAGATGAATTCCCAATTATGTTAGGGGATCCATCATGATGAAATTGCATTTGTTGCAATTTCATCAGCATGAATGCAGTTGATGTAGTTGATGCAGTTGGTGCAGTTGTGCCGCTTATTTTATTATGAATGTGGATTCCACATTTTCAATTTCTTGGATACCACTTACTTTAGTAGATAGAGACGCTGGAGCGGCATATTTCCATGGCCTCCTAGGTCATCGGATTCAATATGCCTGGGTTTTAATTTATGCGGTCAAATGAAGAACGAATATGGATAAATAACAATTAAATGGTATTAAAATAAAATTAAAATATATGTTTTGATATTTTGACGTAACCAATTTACCTCTTTTTTGTTTCCTAGACTACTACTATAATTTTTAGACCTTATAATCCTAGGCGACAGCTTAATATGATTAATTTTCTAAATATCTCCGGTTAGAGAGAAGATAGAAAGTTGCGGTTTGCGCTATTATTTTGGAAATTTTGTGCTCTGGTTGTGCTCTGAAATTTAACTGTGAAAAGAGAAATATAGCCTCCTATTTATTTTTTTTATGCAAAAGCGCAATATTTGTTATGATGTCAAACAGCGCCCTCTAGCTACCACGAAAAAATTTCTGGAGACAAAATGTATACTGGAGATCATTAAGGAAGAAAAGCTCTTTTAAACGAGCCCTAGTTTGTTTAAATCGGCTAACCTAAACCAGAGTTATCCTTATTTTAATAAAGCAAGTTGCTTCCCCCACTACTGACACATGAATGAGCATATCAGGTAGATGTTTCAGTATATTTCTGCCATTCTCTGAGAAAAACTGTTTTCTGGTGGCCTCAGAGAAACGCCCTGCTGGGCATTTTCGAGCGAAATATTTCAACATTCTTGATCGATTGCTATTTTTCCCAAATATAAGTAGTTTCTGAAGATACAAACATCACAAATGACCACAGCCACTCGGGTGTCCCACTAGAATAGCTCTCATGTCTCGGAAGGTATTGGTCATTAGGCTTGCCGGAAAAAATATTTATGACTAAAGGGAGCATGAGAAATTGCTGGAAATTATTTTCAAGTTTGTAGAGCGGCCGCTAGAGGGTGCAACTGCTATTAAAAATAAGAAAAAGGAGTTTTTACACAATTTTGCTTAGATAACGGATACTATAAATAATAGATTCATAATCTTCAGTAAATTTTGTATATTTTTTGTTAGAACCATTTTCCCCTATCTGCCATAATAAAGTGGTAAGGGAAGGTTAGATCTGTTTATATTTAAATGTTAATAACTCCGGACTGGTTGATCGGAATCCAATAAGTGGTGCTCCTTTAAAAGAGCGTTTCTTACTCTATATTATACCGTATAAACAATAAAAATAAGCTTTTGAGCGTAGACGCTAGGGGGCGCTGTCTTACAATTTAACAAACATTACGCGTTTTTTCGAAAAAGTTAAATAGGATAGTATATGTAATTTTAGCTGATACTAAAAAGTAATACAAGTTTAAAAATTCAGCGAAAACCGCATCTTGATATCTTTTTTCAAACCAAAGTTATTAGCAAAATTATAATAAATACGAAAAAATAAGCCCTTAACTACCATATCTTTCTAACACGGTATCCCTAACCCTCTTGAATATGGCCCTTCTAATAAAAAATAAGATAGAAAAGATTATTTCATTCAAAAAATCGATAATGTACCAGAATATCATAATACTAGGTGTATTAATATCTAATACCTAATTAAGATATCAATGAGAGTGACTAAGAAGGTGCCGCAGAACGCCTCAGTGAATTCATAGTAGGCTTTGAAAAAAAGTTGCTTTTAAAGAGATAGTTTAAACTCAAAATATTATTATATCAACAATTTGATAGTCTCAGCAGCGTTTTTTATCTTTTGATTGCTTTTCTAAAAATTCCTTTCTTCAAAAGAGAAAAAACACTGCTAAGACTATCAAAATGTTGATTTAATAACTCTTTGACGTTTATACTATTACGTCAAAAGCATCTTTTTTCCAAAGCCTACCACGACTTCACTAAGGTGTCGTTTCTTATTCACTGTCATTGATATCTTAATTATTAGATATTAATACATCTGGTATTATCGTATTCTGGTATATTGTCGATTTTAGAATAAACTAATCGTTTCTATCTTATTTTTTATTAGAATGGCCATAATCAAGAAGGCTATTGTAACCGTATTAAAAAATAAGGTAATTAAAAGCTTATTTTTTGGTATTTATTATAATTTTGCTAATATCTTCGGTTTGAAAGAGGATATCAAGATGCGGTTTTCGATGACTTTTTAAACTTTTATTACTCTTTACTATCAGCTAAAATTATATATACTATCGCATTTAATTTTTTTTGAAAAAACGCGCAATGTTTGTTAAATTGTAAGACAGCGTCCCCTAGCGTCTACATTCAACAGCTTATTATTACTGTTTATACGCTATAATATAGAGTAAGAAACGCTCTTTTAAACGAGCCCTCGCTTGTTAGATTCCGTTCATCCAGTCCGGAGTTATTAATGTTTAAATAAAAACAGATCTAACCTTCCCCCACCACTTTATTTTGGCAGATAGGGAAAAATTGTTCTAACAAAAAATATGCAAAATTTACTGAAGATTACGAATCTATTATTTATAGTATCCGTTATCTAGGCAAAATTGTGTAAAAACTCCTTTATCTTATTTTTAATAGTAGTTGCGCCCTCTACCAGCCGCTCTACAATCTTGAAAATAATTTCCAGCAATTTCTCATGCCCTCTTTAGTTATAAATATTTTTTTCCGCAAGCTCTACGACTAATACTTTCCGAGATACAACCGAGAGCTATTCTTAGTGGGACACCCTGTACATATGCCAAAATCAAAAAAGCCATATCAAAATTTTTATTTTAGTAAAATGATGATGCACACCTTATTTTGAAAAGATTTCAATTATGAAAAATATTCGTGTCACCGACATTCCTATGCTCACTATCGAACCAAATTACCTCAAACTAACATTTTTTAGATTACAAAGTAAAACGACAAAGTGGCGAACCGGGAATCGTACTACGACGTTCCAAAGAAGGTGAGAATGTCGTCAGAAGTGAAGAAAATCGAGGAAAAGTTAGAAAAACCGACGGAGAAGACGGAGAAAGAAAACGTGCTCGACAACAAGACGAAAGAGGAAAATGAGAAGGAAGTTGATGAAGTTAAGGAACCGCCAAAAAAGTCGTTAGTCAAACGAATAAAAGAAGAATGGCAATTGATTGCTAAAATTTTGGAACTCGTAAGAATATATTAATGTTTTATTTAAAATTTTGAATAGATTATTTTTGAATATAATAATATTAGATGTCGATTTATTATAATTTTTATTTGATTGTCAACATTTACCTTGACTAAATGTCTTAATTACAGTACGATAAAATGTTCATAGATTAACACTGATTAGACTTTCACAGTTTCTAGCTTATTATAATTAAATCAGAAGTTTAAGTCTGTCCATGTTTGTGGCATAAGTAAAAATAATTACAAAACGCGTACGGAGTGTCCCATTTTCATGTGTTTTATAGGGTTTCTCGTTTATGAGTACATACAGGGTGCTACAAATTCGCGGTACGAGCATTGGTATCTCAGAAACTGTAATAGATACGAAGATTGTTAAATCGAGGCGAAGTTGCGCTTTGGGATGTTCACCAAGATGCCATCAAAAAAGTTTTAAAAATTTTAAGGATTGCTGAGTTTTATAGAAAAAAAACGTTTTTTTTGAAAATAAATTTTATGTTTTCCTGTCGTTAGATACTTTTCAGAAAATTGAAAAACTAATTGAACATTCCCATAGCCACTTTATTCGGACTATTTGACAGTATTTTTCGATTTTTAAATTAGCTGATTATCTGTGAGATACAGAGGCCAACTTATTTTTTTTTAAATACGGACCTGCATGTTTTATTTCAGGTTTTGAAAAAACTTGGTCCCCCGAGGATAATGATATGTCACACTCACACTTTATCTTTTTTTTGTTTTGGGTACCTTAACAACAACAAACCTATTTAATTATTATTTAAAATAATTTCAAGTCCTACTCTGGTTTTTTAAATTATTTAATCTGATCATATTCATCGCAACAATATTGATCAGCGCTAATTAACATTGAATAAGGAAAATCGAGCCAATTGAAAGATTCTAATAAATAATATCCGATTTGTAAATGTTGAGATGTATTGATTTCACTTTTACAAATATCAAAATATGCCCCCCTGACTTTTGGCGACAGGTCCAGGAACCTCGCTGGCCATGAAATGATTGGGTTGTTTATATTATATTATATTTTTATTATTTATTTTATATTATTTTATTACATTTTATTTTCCGTATTCATGCTTTACTCCACGTCATTGTTAAGTTTGAAAGCTAATCGATAAATAACAATTGTACAAAAATATTGACGAATAGATTAAATATAAAAAAAACAGAGCCAGACTTGAAATTATTTTAAATTAACTGTGTTCAAATGCCCGAAACAAAAAAAAATTGGCGCCGGGAGACACATAGAGCCGCCCATACTAAAGTATGTTAATAAAAAGTTGGTAGGCAGTTCTTTTAGTTTCAAAGTAAAGGAATTTTTCCAATTTTATTTATCTCAAAAACTGCGACTTCGACTGATTTTGATGATATTACAAATTTTGTCGCAAATATTATTCCTAATCTTAAATTGAAAACCGCGTTTCGCTAGCTACTGTAATTTTGGAGTTACGATTTTTTTAAATTTTTAACCCCCTCCCATACCCCCTTACCAACCCCCCACCCCCACCAAAAACTAATGGCCGGATTCTCGGGTGCCACAGTATTTTTGTGCCAAATTTGGTTAAAATCGGTTTAGCGGTTTTTGAGTTATCGTGTTACAGACGGACAGACAGACGGACAGATAGACAGACAGACACCATGAAAATATTTTGTATTTAGGTCATTTATGACCAAAATAACTCATTTTGAGTGAAATTAAAAAAACTTTTTTTTTGCCGATCTTAATAGCCTACCATACCTATTAGTATGGTCGGCTAATAAGTGTGGCATATCATTGTATTCAGGAGGCCGAGTTCTTTCAAAACCTGAAATAAAAAATGCAGGTTCATATTTAAAAAAATTAAGTTGTCTGTATCTCACAAATTATCAACTAATTTGAAAATCTAAAAATACTGTCAGATAGTCCTAATAAAGTGGTTATAAGTAGTCCTAATAATGTGCAATTAGTTTGCTGATTTTCTAAAGAGTAACGACAGGGTAAAATAAAATTGATTTTCAAATAAATCCATTTTTCCAAAAAAACTAAGCAATCCTTGAAATTTTTAAAGCTTTTTTGATGTCATCTTGGTGAACATTCCAATTACGGTTTCCGAGATACCAATGATCGTCGAATCCAGAATTCCACCAGAAATCCTCGAATTTGTAGCACTCTGTATATTATTATTTTGATTTCAGGACATCTTTTGTATTTTTTTAAATGGCTGTAAAATTAATTATTTTTTTCATTCATAGGTTAATATCTCAAATAAAATAATTATCAAAACATATTTAATATTATCTTAGAAAAAGTAATCTTCTGTAAAGTGGTCGAAAGATTGTTCCGTTTAAAAAAAAATCATCCCGATCTACTCACACATTTTAGCAACTTTCGGTATGCACTTAAATAACATATTTATCGATTGTAGACTATAATCATAGACTATAATAGACAATTAATGACATTTTCATATTTTATAACCATAAGTAAGTTCCCCCTATCAATTAAAAGCAGCAACGGTCCAGATATAAATAAACTTTTAAGCAAATTATATATTTTTGCACTTTCTAATGTAGTATATTTACCAATACACTAACAACCGGATTGATTTTAGGTTCTTTGTGCTCTATGCTTGGGATTCTTTTACCAGCCAGCAGCAAAATCAGCAAACTTCGCCAAACACCACTTGGAGCAAGTAGGACTAATTTTCCTCACTTTCATCGGCTACCTACTGATTAATGCAGTATTTATCGTCAGCAAACTAATTAAAGACAGGATACCCTTCAGAACGTCAGCGACTTTTTCTCTGTTGGCAGCAATACTAAATTTTATAGCTGGAATAGTGCTGATCGTGGATCGCAGAAACAAATTCCAAGGGATATACTACGAACCGCAAATGTACCTGTTAGGCATGCTGACAGGATCCACGATATTGTGCTTTGTAAACTCAGCAGTATACGGTTTGGATGGTGTTTATACGTTTTTGTTAAAGAAGGATTATTAAGTATAGGATTTGTTGTAAAATAAATTATTTAAGATTATTTTTATGTAATATTTTTATATTGTAAAAAAAAGCCTTATCAATTCCGTCCGACATATAAAATTGAGTATGACTTAATAAAGTATATAATTTAAATAAACTTTTTAAGAAAACAAACAAACAATTAACAACAGAATTATTGTATTTTGTTCACCAAACTTTTAACCGACCAGGACAAGACATGAAAAACATTACGCGATCAAATCTATTTTTCCAAGATTCCTTGATTAAAAATTAGTGTTTTTAATACACCTATGGCACTATAGATTGAAATTTAAAATACGATTTTTTTTAAATGAGAATGTCAAAAGTTGACATATGATATGTCATTCTATTCAGAACGTCATTTTCTATCGAATAAAGCAAAAAATACAATCTTGACAAATAAGCTAACTCGTTTTTTTTTATCTAAAGAAATAAAAAAGTTATAGGGGTGAGCCACTTTTGAGACGCACCCGGTATACGCCCCTGGTTCCAAGTAGATTATAAGTTCTCAAATTTTAGTTTTTGCGAACGCAAATGTAAATCCAATGCGAACCTCGAAAAAATGTGACATTCTATGACCTATGTCATCTATGTCAGATTTCGTATGCCACCATATGCATTGCCTGGAAACTCATATGGTGAAATTTTGATAAAATAATTTAGTACACACCAAAGAGGTTAGAAGTACACACTAAAAACACGGTATGTCGCTAGTGGTAGGAAAAATAATTTTTAGAGGTTACTAGTTTATTCGGTTGCCTGTGATATGCATGTACAGGGTGTTTCCTAATTAATCTAAAAGATAAAAAATCGTTAGAAAACGAATTAAGGCGGGCTATTAATAAGTATATTTTTTCTCGACAACCGTTTGATGAACAAGAAAAACTCAAAAGATCAATTTTGTTGAAAAAGGATGGCCAGTCAAGAAAAAAAAATATTTTCTTTAAAAAAGCAGTGGTGTACCATTTATGTTAAGCAAAAAAATCGATTTTTTTTAATTTTTAACAACCTGTAGATAAGAAAGGAAGTACTTTAGACCCAATGGTTATATAAAAATTGTTTTAAGAACACATGAGGAATCACACCATAATTTTTTTAGACTAATTCGAAAACACCCTGTATATTGTCAACTTGACATTGACTGCTGATAAATCAAAAAATACCTTTTCAGTGAAAAAAGCCTGATTTTCGCAGGTAAAATTTTGATTTTTATTGAATTTGGGCCTGCGTTTGCAAATACTTGTTTGTTTTTTAATTTTCTATCTATCTAAATCTTAAATATCATAGTCAGAAATAGTTTTATTATTTATTAACTGTAAAAATGGTGTTTTGTTGTTGTGTTGCATCTTGCAAAGAAACTAACAAAACTGCAAAAATGTACGTGTTTCGAAAATACGATAAGGTATGTATCTTAGGAAAAGAAAAATATATGGTATGTATTCGTTGTTTGATTTTTTTTCGTTCGCTTTAAAATCTATAAATCTCGGTCTATTAATTAGACAGCCAGTCGACTTACGATCATTTACATGAAACTCTGTAAAATAAATAAAAAAATAAATTGTAAAATATATATATATATATATTCTTATGTTTCATTAAAGTTACTCTGATATACTAATATATCAGTGTAACTTTAAATATAAATCCTTTGAATTCAAATATAAACATAAAAAACATTTACAGCAGAAAAGGCGAAGGCGCTGGGTTAAACGTAGTCTCCACTAAAAACACGGAGGGGCGCTTTGACCCAAAATTTTACTATTAAGTTTCATATCTATCTTAATAGTAGATTATTTTCTTTTATCTATGACCATATGCCACTATTTTGAATTCTTGTCACTGTCGAGATAACGTTGTCATTTTGTTTTTCAGAGGTTGTATTGTGTATAAAATAACGATTAAAATGTAACGTTAACTTAAAAATGTACGAAGATATTGAATTGCCTGTAAGAAGCAGATGTAGACTATCTAGCGGATCTAGAACTAGAATATACTTTATTAGAAATTCTGCAGGACAGTCTTTATTTTTCCTAAAATGGGTTGAATTGGTAGGTATAATATCATGGTATATCTAAAATATGATATAAAACTTATCTATTTCAGGTTTTAAGTGTTTTATGTCTATGTTCTGCTGTTGTAACAGTTAGTGCAGGGCCAATAAGAGAAACCATAACAATAATCATATTATTTTTTATAAATTCTTTTACTATACTAGTAGTGCTAGCAGAAATAACATATTCGCATTTTAAAAGGTACTAATAGAAAGGCTATTAAGTTTAGACATTGCAATAATACTGATTTTTGTAATAAGATATTTCACTAATAGACCATAACATTATACTTATATTTGTAATGCAATAATCAGAGAATACCTAATATATTTTCAGCTATTTATCCGTAATACTACAAATTCTAATTATTGGTATAAATTGTGTACTAAATAGCACAATTACCATATTACTGTATAACGTTAATAGTAGCAACGTATTATTTGGCATATTGATATACTTAAATGGAATAACTTCCGTTTTGTTTTTGGTTGATTTAATATGTAAAATTGTGTAAGTAGGTAGTAAATATGAGCAAACATATTTATAATTATTTTTTTTTATTTTTAGCATATCGATTTTTCTTTACCAAATAACAGGAGTGAAAATCGTAAAAGATGTTGGAGTCAGTGCCTTTATCCGTAAGATAAATTATTTTACTTTGTTAATTAAGCTATAAACGTATAATAGCCATTGTATTGTCGCTATTAATATGAACTACTAAATGAATTTAACATAAACTAAAGTAATGTATAACGAACTAGTAGGCAGAAAAGACATCCTAATAAATAACAGAACACTGGAAATAGTAGAAGAATATTTGGGACAACTAATACACAGGTCGGATCTCTACTACCAGAAATCAACAAAAGAAAATAAGTTAGCACGAGTACTTATGGAAGAAACTCATTCATATTCAAATCTAGAATGCCACTTTATCTAAAGAAGCGGACATTGATTTTAGGTTCTATGTGCGACCAATGTGTACTACCAGTCATGACCTATGCATACAAAACCTGGACACTTAAAACAGACATTATAAGGAAAGTATTAGTCTCACATCGTTCATACTAAAAACGCTGGAGAAAGTAGTTGACAACCATATTGGAGAAAATCATCTAAAGGTTAAACCACTGCATGATAGTCAGCATGCATATAGAACGGGCAGATCCACAGAAACTGCTCTGTACCAATTAACGGAGCTAATACAGACAAGTCTGGATAGCAAAGAAACAGCAATTTGTGCCTTCTTGGGTATTGCGGGGGCGTTTGACAATATACCACATAAGCTGGTCAGGCGATCTCTAGAAACAAGAGGGGTGAACAGAACTATTATTCGCTGGTTTTGGGAAATGCTGTCAACACGAACAGCAGAGGCTCAGATTGGCACCAAAACTGTAGCTGTTAAAACAACGCAAGGAACTCCACAAGGTGGAGTAACCTCCCCTTTGCTGTGGAGCTTGGTGGTGGATGAACTACTAGACGAATTAACTCTAGCGGGAATACACTGCATTGGGTATGCAGATGACATAGTCATGATCGCTCGGGGGAAACATGAAGGCACCTTGTGTGATATTATCCAAAGAGGACTCCGTATCACTGAGATATGGTGTAGAACTGTCGGGCTGAGTATCAACTCAGACAAAACCGCGATAGTGCCATTCACCAGAAAGAGAAACTGAAAAACTTGAAAAGAATCCAACTAGGTGGAAAGGAAATACTGCCAACACAGGAAGTTAAATACCTGGGAATAACCCTGGACAGTAAACTCCTGTGGAACAGGCATATTAAGAACACTACCAGCAAAGCCATAAAGGCTCTCATGATATGCAGAAGACTGGCCGGAAATAGATGGGGCTGCTCCCCTAACATTTTGCGCTGGATGTATACCATGATAGTAAAACCCATGATTACTTATGGAGCAGTTGCCTGGTACACAAAACTAGAGCAACGGACGGCAAGGCTAAACCTATGCAAAGTCCAGAGACTAGCATGCGTTTGCATCACAGGAGCCATGAGAACCTGTCCAACAGCAGCAATGGAGGTCATTCTAGATCTAACACCACTGCACATTGTCATTGGTAGATATGCCAATGCGACAATGATTAGAATGGTCACTAACGGAATTAGTACTGGGAGAATTGTCAGATCAGGGGCTTGGAACACCCTCATAAAGGAAAAACTACTCCTGCAACTCCCAGTGGACCAAGAACGTACAACTTTGAGAAACATCTCAATGTAGTATTGAGCAATGAAAAGGATTGGAAGAGCGAAACGCTTGCCCAGCAGTTAAAAGACCATACCATAACTTGGTATACTGATGCTTCCAAAACCAATACGGGAACAGGGATCGGAGTGTTTGGGCCGAGAGCTAAATACTCCGAACCAATGGGCACTTACCCTAGTAACCTACAGGCAGAAATCTACGCTATCGAAAGATGCGTACAACTTATCTTAGATAGGAACTATCGGAAACAAGAAATAGCCATCTTGTCTGATAGTCAAGCAGCGTTAAAAGCGATCAACTCAGTATCAATCAATTCGAAATTGGTCAAAGAATGCATTAGAAGCTGAATAAATTAGGCAAAGAAAACAAAGTCCTCCTATTCTGGGTGCCTGCTCACCAAGGGATAGAAGGCAATGAAAAAGCAAATAATCTAGCTAGGAAAGGAGCGAACACTCCACTAACTGGACCAGAACCGTTCTGCTTTTCAAGTGGTAACCAACTCAAGGCGGAACTCAAGAACTTGGAAGATTCCATCCGCAACCTGGAATGGAAATCTTGCAACGGTCTAAGACACTCGAAGAAGTTTCTGAGGGCTTATGATAAGAAAAATCACAGATCTTCCTGGGTTTAAGTAAGAACAATCTTCGGATTGTCACGGGGTTTTTAACAGGACACTGTCTCCTCAATGAACACCTCAGTAGATTGAAACTAAGAAGAAACGGCGAATGCAGATTCTGTGGGGAAGATAGGGAAACACCAGTACACCTCATCACTGAGTGCACCGTGACGACAACCATTCGTGCCATGAATTTTGGTACGACTGATATTGGAGATGGAAAACTACCCTCTATGAAACCATCCCAGATACTGGCTTTTGTCAAAGCCCTGGGACTGTATGATGAGTTATGACTCAGGAAAGGGAGACACAATGGATCTGTAAGGTCGCAGTGATTAACCCCCCTCCCACTCATTCTAAATTCTAAAAAAAAGGAAAGTGCAGGTCGCACAATGCTTAATGGAACGAAATATGCTGGGAATAATCAAGAAAGACCATAAAAGAATAGAGTGGATACGAAAAAAGACCCAGGTATGAACAGGCATGTCATCCACAGAATCAAATCCCTCAAGTGGCAATGGGCAGGACACCTAGCAAGAAGGACGGACAACAGATGGACTCAAGAACGGTAAACTAATAGGATTGCTCATCCTCATAAGACGTACGTTCGCCTCTTCCCGCGCTTCAGCTGACAGTTGTGACGTCATTGTAGTCCTTGTCATGATAGTGTGTATTTTTAGTTGCCTATGGTAAACTTATAAAAATAACAGCTGAGAAATTTTGAGTTAATTATTTTATCAATTTTAAATGTGAAAAAGGTGTCTTTAAAGTTTTTAGAGCTATAGAGTGTATAAATACGTTCAGTTTGTGTTGTGGATTGTGACAAAGTGCTTACTAAGGGCCTACGATATTGTTTATTAATTATTTTAAAGTAAAATATGGAAGTACTCTAAAAAGAATGCTTGCAAAAGGTGATGTTGGAAACTGCTGTTCTTAAAAATGCATTATCCGAGTATTTAATACGATTTATACAGTTAATTTTCTATACTGCATACGTATAAGGTGTCTAAATAAATAAACTAAATAATGAACGTTTTGCATTCGGCAACTAATAATGCACGTGTGTGTATTATTGGTTGCCGGATAAGGACTAATAACCATGACAAGGACTACAATGACGTCACAAAGCGAGTAGCTTTCGCATGCACCTGGCGGACACTCTTGGCTGAATGAGCAGTCCTATTAGGTTAACTGTTCTTGAGATGGACTACAAAAATTACGGTATGGTACCCACGAGGAATTAAGAGACCTAGTAGAAGACCAAACCTGTGATGGGACCATGATATTAGTAAATTCGCAGGGATAAGTTGGAATAAGACTACACTATAATTGGAAATGGTTGAATAAGCTGAAAATGATGATGATGGTGATGACTAAACAAGCAGCGCACAAGTGAGACGCGACCAGCATTATTATAAGTACAGATATATGGCAGCATCCAAGTGTAGATATTTGATCCAAGTGCACTTATACGGAGTCAAACCGCTTTTATAAATGGCAGGACTTTACTTAATACCAAGCAGGATTAATTAAATATCAAAATTATCACATACGAAGGATTAAGTTAAAAAAAATAACTTGGAATTCAAGATACTTAATTTCCAATTTCCTTACTTAACCGTAACATATTTAGTTTTTTAAATAAATGGGAGAGAAGCCGCCATCTTTGACAAATGATTCAGTAAATTATTACTTAATTCTACAATTTTACTACAATTTTTCTTTTACGTTTTCAACTTGGCAGGTCTAGAGGTTTTACTTGGGTTTTACGTGCCATTTCTAGTTTTTTACATTTTCTAGCAACAACATGGCGCGAACTTAGCCCTGTTGTCAAGGGTCGATTGTTTATATAGCTCTCTTGGTTTAGTAGAACATAGATGTTTCTCGGATATTAGCCGAACAAAAGTTTCTGACACGAACGGTTGTCATCTCGGCGCACTCAGCAATGAGGTGTTCTGGTCTTTCCCCATTTTCCCCACGGAATCTACGTTCGGTGTTGTTTCTCAGCTTCAATCTAATGAGGTGTCCGTTGAGAAGGCAGTGTTCTGTTAGAAACCCCGTGACAATCCGAAGACTGTTTTTACTTAAATCAAGGAAAACCTCTGGTTTTTCTCGGTCGATTATTAGATACTAGCTTCAATGTCAAGTTTACTCAGTCTACTTTTTTGAGAATTGCTAACACTTATTACAGTAAGTTGCTTTCTTTAGGGCGAACTATGACTTTTATGACATCACGTCTGTGTTTGGAAAAAGTCAATTTTTTAACATAGATTCATTAACTTTAAATCTTAATTCATATCAACTGTATTCCGGAAACTTTGGCAACATATTGTGCAGATAAGAATAAGTAAAAATGTTCGTATAAATGTATGTCCCAAAATGCTTAGTTTCGAAGATACACGGTATAGAACTTTCATTTTTATTTCGATTTTTTCCCAAATAATTTCTGAAGTAGCGTCAATATTTGGATGAAAATTGGTGTCTGGAAGTTTTTTGATATGAGAAATTTGATTTTGATATTAATATGACTCCTAATTGTAGAGGGCGCCACCTACCTGTATTTTAACTGTTTTGAAAAGTAATAACTTTTCGTCCGTACCTGTATAAAACTACTAAGTGAAAAAATATACATTTCCGTGATTTTTACGTAATAAATGTCTCTTGGTAAAAATCGCTACGAGCAACCATTCTCGAGATATTTAGAATGGAAAAAGTCAGTACATGTCATTATTGACAAAAAATAAACATACACACTTGAGTACAGTACGTCTCGCGTCTGTCCGTTCTGTGGCTACGGGGTATCCGTGAGAGGGGAAACGATATTCTCTCGATGTTTTTCGTAAAAAATTAGACGACGCATCCCATCAATAAAAATTCGACAAATTTGCAAGTAGCCAATAAAATGAGTGGACGGAGCGATTTGCGGTGACGTACTCGTCAAGTCGATGTATAAAATATATTGCTGTTTATTTAAATGTTTTTTGTCCGCATTCCTTTCATAGACACAGATCCAGCAGACGAACTGTAGATAGTAATTTGACTGAAATTATAAATTTGAGTAATTTTTACTTTTTTAAATTAATTATAATTTGTTTTCGAAAAAATGATGATAAAACAGTTTCTGTTGAACTTTTGGCACAAAAACATTTCAAATTTATTTCAGTCTAATAACTATTTACTCAACATATTTAATTTATGTCAATGATGCCAGGTATAGATAATTTCGATTCCAAATATCTCGAAAATCATTATTCATAGTGATTTTTACAAAGAGACCTTTTTTACGTAAAAAAAGTCGTAAATGTATGTTTTTTTTAATCAGCAGTTTTATACAAGTATGGACGAAAAGTTATTACTCTACAAACCAGTTAAAAATATGTAGGTGGCGCCTTCTACAAGTAGGAGTCATTTGGACATCAAAATCAAATTTCTCATGTCAAAAAACTCCCAGACACCAGTTTTCATCAAAATATTGACGTTACTCCAGAAATTATTTGAAAAAAATCGAAATTCAAATGAAACTTCTACACCCTGTATCTCAGAAACTAAGAATTTTAGGATATACATATATACGAACTTTTTTACTTATTTTTATCTGCAGAATATGTTGCCGAAGTTTTTGGACTACAATTCGGACCACCCTGTATATTAGGAGGTTCTTAAAACTCAGTAACTCTGTTACATAACTATAAACACATTAATGGCAAATATGTTTTAGCATTTCCATCTCCTCAAAAGACCAAAATACCTCGATCTATATTAACCGCAACCCCTATCACCTACGGGGGAACTTTTCCAGTTGGAAAGAATCAGCCTCCGTTTTTAGCCGAAGACCGAAATCCTCCCATAGACTTCGCAACACCAGATAAAGGTCGCTAAAAACGTGGATAAAATAAAATGTTTAACGTAATTAATTCAATCTATTTTTTAGGATTCCGACAAAAAACAATAAATACAACGGCGTTTATTGAAAATAAAGACAAATCACCCAAATACGATTTTGATAAAGATGCCAGAAGTAAATTTATACAGGCGCGTATCGATCAACAAGATAAAGGTACTTTTTCATTCAAAATAATTGTCAAATATTTGATTCACTACTACACTACTTCTTATATCATTTTAATTATGATGCATACCTACCTCAAAATTCAATAGATGTAATCAAAGCCCTCTTGACTACCTACTATTTTTTCATTTAACTTTATAACATGCTAATCATACCATACTTCATTAAAATGGAATAATATAAGAACGGTTTTAATGGGCTGGATAAATCTAAATGGCAGTCAGACGCAGCTGAGGGTTACATGTATGATAGGTGTCCCAAAAATACTATAGTGTAGATTTTTCAAAATTATGTAGCTTTTCATTTTCATTCATTTTCGGCAATTTTTTTAAACTACAATATAACCAAAAAAGGGAATGAAATCGCATTTAGAACTCTTAAACAGCGTACACACTATGCCAGAAACAACCTGAAACATATCAAGGTCGCATTTGGTCGCCCAACTTTGTACGCATTTCGATTTATTTCCAGTTGTCTTGACCCACTTCGCTTTGCCTCGACCTACTTTCGATTCTTAAAAGCGCCTGAAAACTACTCGTGAGAAGAGCGAGAAGGGATTTTTTTGTCGCCTCGTTCAATTTTGTCTTATTTTGAGCTATTTCCAAAACATGGCGGTATCTGTATCACAGATTATACAGATTATAATCTTTGTTTTTTCTTTATTGTTTTTCGTGGTTCCAATTTTCGGAATCGGGCACTAGTTAGGTGACTAGTTTGCGCACATAGCACGCCCACTTATGACCTCTAAAATTGTGCACAGCGCCTGACCGGCACAGTTATTAGAGAGATATCGGAAAACCGAATAGCGTCATCCAGTATTTACGCGTACCTTATCATGGTTACGATATGCGCGAGTCAATTTTTAACGCAACACCCGCTAATTTGCGGATCAATTACACCAAGCGCTCTTTCCACATAACCTCTGATAACGTTTAAAAATTGCTTAAATGGGCATGTGCGGGTATTTGACAACCGGAGCCGGCCGGCGAGATCTTTTATTTTAGGTTATGTTTGAATTGTTTTGAATTATTGCTTTAGTTTTATTCGGTAATTTGATATTTAAGTAGCTGGGATTAGTTTTAATTAAATAAATATGGCTCAAAATATGGATTCCACCTCTTCCAATACTAAAGAACCTATAAAGAGTCTTAGGTTTACAGCAGATGACGACTTAGCCCTTCTAAGAGAATTTGTTGCTTGTTGCCCTAAATCCACTGGCAGACATTGAACAATAAAGCACTGGAAATAAGCACTTTAGCCCTTTAGTTTTAAAATACCTAGTAAACAAAACAATTAGTTTACCTAGTAAACAAACAAGTTTTAAATTCAAAGTTAGGTTAAGTTTAAATAGCGGACGCGACGCGATCAGAATTCTTTCCGATCCGATAACTATAAATGAAGAGAGTTAATACCACATCACGTAAAGGAAATAACACCTAGCCTTATTAACGTCCATGCACGCTATTCGGTTTAGCGATATCTCTCTATTACGCTGTTTATTGTTATTTTACGCGAGTTTATTTTTACGCAGGAAATTTGACTCGTTTGCACATCGTCATAAAAAACAATTTTCGTACCACGAATTAGGGACAAGATTTTTATCTGTATACTTATAGGATACCTAATCTGTGTCTGTATCCAAGGCAAAGGATTTTTTATAAATCTCAGTGAAATAAGTAAACCTAGACGTTTCTAAAATAGCTGTTGTTCCAATGATATTTCGTTGATTACATCTCGTTTTATGTTATATTGATATATATTCCACAGAATTAATATATAGTAGATATTTAGTAACAACACTTTTCACTTAAACGGCAGGAATACCTATAATAACAATATTTTTATGATTTAATTTTATTATACTGAATTAGTATATAAAATTGTATATGATATGTTTGTTTATGGCCTTAATTGATTAATATAACAGTAGTATTGCTTGAGAAGTAATACTGGTAACATTATCAATATATCCGCCTGGGAGGGCAACGGCCCAGCTACGTCGAAACACCGGTTCCCATTAGAACACCGAAGTTAAGCGACGTAAGGCGATGCTAGTGGATGGACGGGTGACCGGATCGAAACTTTGCATCGTGCTGTTGTCCAAGGGAAAAGTGTAAAATCTATTGATACACACTGCTCATTCACGCCGGTTCGAGGCCGGATGAGATCGGATATCTCGTGAGTAAGAGTTAATTTAGACACTTCCTAAGTCGGTAAGCTATTGACCATGATATGGCCGAGGACCGCGGTTCGGATTCCGCGTAAACAAAGTAGGTCCCGTCCAGTTTAGCCATTGCAGTAGAAAGGAGACGTTAACTTGAACCTCACACATCCGCCTGGGAAAATTATTAATTGACCCGATGTCAGCAAAAGTATGGTCCACGGACATAATTTAAAAACAATATTCTTTTATTGATCTTAAGAGAAATCTGTCAACGATACTTTTATTAGCACCCAGCATGGTTTGATATAAATCAACTCAACTAGTATTTAATATGCAGATATTTAGACAATTAAAACTAGAAAAACATAACCAAATTAGTAAACTAAACTTTGCTACAGACTACAATTTAAATGTTACTTACTTAAATGTTAACTGTTACTAGAAATAAATAATTAGACGATTTTTTAAATAATTTTGTGCATATTTTGTTCATGAGGCGCAATACCGTGGATGATAAGGCGATAAATGGTAGACTGCTAGTTAGTCACTGTTTTATTTTTTTTTACTATGTTGTAATTAATAATATTAGACAATGATTAAAACTAAATATTCTTGTGTAAACTTCGAGGATTAGCCAATTTGGTTGTTTGTTTCTTTTTTATTGTCACAACGGGTCTAAATCTATTTGAGGAAACGTGGGAACTAATTTTTATAACACGAGCTTATATTTATAATATCTACTATTTCCAGAAATGTTTTGCGAAATATTTCACGAAATATTTCCAGAAATATTTCGTAAAACATTTCGGGGATAATGTAGTAGAGGCTGTTTTACATTAACGTCAGGTGAGAAAAGCGGAAAAAGTTAATAAATAAAAAAATCGATTTTTTTTCAAAGGGGTTATATCCAGATTTCGAAACACAGTTTAAATGGGGCAAATATAGAGTTCCACTAGCTCTATCCGTAGAGATCTCATTGGTCGTTTAGCTACTTACCGTCTCCGAGAGAAAACATCTTATTTTTATTTACACCTATATTTTTTTTCCTGCTGGTATAACTTAATGTAGCGACTAAATGCCAAAATTTTCGAAGGGACTTCCACGCCTAATTTCAACGTTAACACCTTAAAAATATGTTAGAATCATAAAAGAAGGTCCTCTTCTAAAAACACACGTATTTTGGTAGCTGGCACTCAGACGCAGCTATATTCTAATAAAGTTGCGTGTCGTTCACACTAAATCTGCCTATACCTACTAATTGACTGTATTATTATTTCATTAATAGCAACAACTACCTTTGCCCTATTACATATGGAAGAAGAGAGACGTAAAAAATCACCCTGGACCTGTTCCACACCATCCACAAGTCGAAAATTCGAAGCCAGGAAACTAGCGTCCATGTCCACTCCTATAACCTATAGTGGTATATTCCACATTTAAATACTATCATCTATTTATTCAAGTTAGTTTCTTCCAGGAACATTTGCAGTTAACAAAGAACTAGTTCCTATTACTCCAGAAACAATAATGAATTCGCCACAAACCTCACCCAGAATTAAAGAGTCTATTCTGAAGAGGGCAAAAGAAGGAGCAGGATCAAAGTCGGAGGGCAACTCTCCCCGAACACTGGGTTATATCTCCGAGGAAAAGTATTCGGAATATACGTCATCGTCGGACAACTGTTCTTTAAAGAGGTCGAGTTATGTATTTATAAAAAATGCTGAGACCATTCCGGGAACTGTGATGGACGAAATGGACTCTTATCAATACAAACGGATGCAGTACGAACAAAATTAATTTAGTTCTACAGTAAATTCATATTTTTGTAATGTAAAAATATATTATTTATTTTAAAAAATATTGAGTTGTATTTTTTTAAACTCAGGACATATCAATACACAGTCTGTTGCATCGCCAAACTGAAGGTAGGAAATCCTATGTAAATTTTAAAAATATTGAATAAGTATTCCCCATTTATTTTAGAGAAAAAAAGATTTTAAACTTTTTAAAGAACTCCTTAAAATGAAGCAAAATGTTCATTTTCAATAACTTCTACGAATTCCGAATTTCCTTTGGAGTATAAAAGATCAAAAAATACTAAATTGAAAAAATAATCTGATCCTGATTTAGTAGTTTAGATTAGAAAAAAATCACCCTGGACCTGTTCCATACCATACACAAGTCGAAAATTCGAAGCCAGGAAACTAGCGTCCATGTCCACTCCTATAACCTATAGTGGTATATTCTACATTTAATTAGTCTCATCTATTTCAAGTTAGTTTCTTCTAGAAACATTCGCTATTAACAAAGAACTAGTTCCTATTACTCCGGAAACCATAATGAATTCGCCGCAAACCTCACCCAGGATTAAAGAGGCTATTTTGAAGAAGGCAAAAGAAGGGGCAGGATCAAAGTCGGAGGGCAACTCCCCTCGAACGCTAGGTTAAGCGTTCGATCCAAGCGTTCGATCAGCCAAGGTCTCTGAGGAAAAGTATTCGGAATATACGTCATCGTCGGACAACTGTTCCTTAGAGAGGTCAAGTTATGTATTTATAAAAAATGCTGAAACCCTTCCAGGAACTGTGCTGGACGAAATGGAGTCTTATCAATAAAAGCGGATGAAGTTCGAACAAAATTGATTTAGTTCTAGAGTAAATTCATATTTTCGTAATGTAAAAATACATTATTTATTTTAAAGAATTTAATTAAAGAATTATTTTTTATTTTAATACTGACGAGATATCAATTTTTAAACTCACGACATGCGTCGCCAACCTGAACACAGGAAATCCCATGCAAATTTTAAAAATATTGAATAAGTATTCTCCATTTTATTTTTCGGAAAAATTTGTTTAAACCTTTTAATGAACTTCTTAAAATAAAGCAAAATTAAATGTTCATTTTCAATAGCTTCTACGAATTCCTTTTGGAGTTGTAAAAGATCAAAAAATACTAAATTAATTGAAAAATAATCCAGTCCTGATTGGAATAACAAACAAGACACCTTCAAAATCAATTCTTTAATGTCAAATTAACCTTATTGCCCGTTATTGCTGTTTAATGTCCCACTTTTTTGAGTTATAACTCATCATACAGTCTCAGGGCTTTGACAAAATGCGTTGATTTTTGGAAGAAGAGGAAGAACTGTCACTTGTTCTATTATCTTCCTTTTCTATTTCACGAAAGTAAAAAGAGTTACCTATCTGATTCGTTCAGGTACTCAATTTAAAGAATATCAGTAACTTTTTTGGTAGAGGGATTTTATATTTGCCATGTTGGTAAAAAATAACGGTCAAAATTCAAAGTTATTCATTTTATAGACCATACCAAAGTTTATAGCACGAATGGTTGTCGTCTGGGTGTATCTAGTGATGAGGTGTTCTGATGCTTCCCCATAGTCCCCACAAAATCTGCATTCTCTGTTGTTTCTTAGCTTTAATCTACTGAGGTGTTCATTGAGGAGATTTCCTCCCGTGTTCATTAAGGAGGCAGTGTCCTCTTAAAAACCGTGACAATCCGAAGATTTTTCTTACTTAAATCAAGTGAATCAAATCTTTGAATTTTCTCGGTCCTAAGTTCTAAATCTCTGACAATGCTCACTAAACAATAACTTTGCTGCCAGTTGAATAGTTAGTATACAAGTAGAATGCCACGTAAGTTAAACAAGGGTCACATCTAAAGTAAAAAATGTCACTTTGATTGTGTACTAAAAATGTCACTGCTCGCCTTGGGTGAGATCTAGTAATGGGATATCTTGAGCAAAAATTCGCTCTGGTACTCGATTATTGAAATAACCGACATTACACTGTCACCGAAAGAATATGTGCTCTGCGCACGCAACTTACTGCTTGGCTTATACAAGATAGTTAGCCAATAGCCAATGATGCAGCTGTTTTATGCAAACAAAATTTATTACTTAAACACTTTTTGAACATTAAACTGGATCAATTCAGAATAATAACAATACCAGCAAATAACTTTTTTTTATTAGCAATAGCGCTGAGAAAAATATATTCTTTTAAATAATAAAGGTTAATATGTATTTCTGAATTATATTTTTAAATTTACTGGTTTCATCTTCTCGAGGTTATACAGTGAGAGTACAGGTTTAACCTCACCTTCTAGGAACTCTGTAACTTGCGAGGGAGCACGACCAATGTATGTTGATGGATCCAGTATATCCTTCAAGTCGTTTACTATTGGAGCAAAGTAAGGATCGGCCCTAACGCGATCCAGAAGATCATTTTCCCTTCCGTGGATTTTCACCTCATTTCCGGCTTCTTGTGAAAGAACGCGAATCTTTTCGTGACATATCTAATTACATATGAATACGTTAATTTCAATCTCAAACAGATACAACGATTAATATACCTGTCTATCGCCGCCTTTCTTAACCATGGCCATAATAATATTCTCCGCTGACATGAACGGCAGTTCTTGATTGATCCTTCGCTGAATTACCTTAGGATACACGACTAATCCTTGTGTTATATTAGCCAAAGTTATTAATGCCGCGTCGGCAGTTAAAAACGCCTCAGCTAGTGTTAATCTCCTGTTAGCTGAATCGTCCAAAGTACGTTCCATCCTGTAAATCAAAAACTATATTATTTAAATTAGCATCTCAAACAAAAAAGGTAAAGCAATATACAGCAAGTAAGTATTATACTAAAACGATTATAGTTTCTAATCCCGGGATTTCAAAACGGGACCCCGATCCCGAAAATTGGAAACCCAACAAGTACTGCCTAAATACCTCTATGGTAGGTTTATTACTGCAATATCTGAAAAGAACAGAACGTCAAACAACGTTAAAAATTAGAGACGTATCTGTAAAATGAAGAAGTGTTAACTTTTTTTAGTTAGATTAATGTTTTAATAGGTTTTTTTGCTTTCGGGGATGAAAAAAATATACACGTTGAAACGCTAAAATACCGTCTACACTATGAGAAAAAACTCTTTGAACCAGGTCAAGATTGCATTTCGTCGCCCCCAACTTTGACGCATTTCGATTTATTTCCAGTTGTCTTTACCCACTTCGGTTTGCCTCGACCTACTTTCGATTCTTAAAAACGCCTGAAAACTACTCTTGTGGAAGGCGTGGGGGTATTTTTTGGCGTTTTTTGTTGCCTCGTTCAATTTTATTTTGTTTTGGGCTATTTCCAAAACGTGGCGGTATCTGTATCCGAGGCAAAGGATTTTTTTTCATAAACCGTTTCTAAAATAGCTGATGTTTCCACGTTTCCTGAAATTGATCGGGACGCGCCGTGATTGGTTGTTTGTTTCTTATTTTATTTTTATGTTATTTATATGTTTATTTTTTATTGTTAATCTGGATTAACAATAAAACACAAACAACCAATCACGGCGGGTCTCGATCTAGTTCAGGAAAAGTGGGAACTAATTTTTATAACACGGACTTTTTCCAGAAATGTTTTGCGAAATGTTTTACGAAGTATTTCTGGAAACATTTCAGTGATAGTGTAGAGGCTGTTTAAGTATATTTTGTTGGTTACGTAATTTTATAGTAAATATCCACTAAGAATTTAGTTTATGTTACGAACAAAGATTTGAATCCGGCCCTTTGACCAAGATTTGAAAATCAGTACTCATCGGTCAATATTATACAGGGTATCCCAGAAATAAGCGTAAGTATTTTAACTGGATATTTCGTCCCCAGAAAAACGCCCATGAGTTTATTTGCGAAAAAAAATGTTGAAAATTTTGTATTTTTATGAGAAAGAGAGTAGTAGAAACGCATTTAATCATTATTAGATCGTTATATATTTACGTACCATTGTACACTATGTGTATTAGCAGCGTTATTGAAAAGCGAAATCAAATGCCTCGCTAACGCGCAACATCTCTCAGAACGCATGGGATTTCTTTTATAAGGCATGGCCGAACTACCAATTTGACTTTTCTCAAACGGTTCTTCTAGTTCTTTCATATTAGCCAATAACCGTAAATCCGAACACATTTTATGAATAGTTGATCCTAAAACAAAACACAATAACTGACAAAAGTACTTAATAGATAATTACAACAAGAATTATTACCTAGCGAAGATAAGGCAGACACAACTTCTAAGTCAACCTTTCTACTGTACGTCTGACCCGTAACTGGGTAGGTCTTTGTAAAACCACTGAGCTGTGTAACTCTCTGATCTAAAGCTTTCACTTTTTCTCCATCGCCATTGAACAGTTGTAAGAATGAAGCTTGTGTTCCAGTTGTACCTGAAATGGAGTTTTTTTTTATAAAGCCGTATTTAAGTACACCTTTTTCTCTATACCTTTAGCACCCCTAAACCTTAGATCTTCTTTAGCTCTTCTTATTGCTCTTTCGTCCAGTAACAAATCGAATAGCCACAAAGTACCTCTTTTACCCACTGTAGTTAGTTGAGCGGGTTGGAGATGAGTAAAACCTAATACTGGAAGATCTCTGAAAATAATATAGAATATTTATGTAATTTTTAAAAAATAAAAATTTCCCATTTTCTTATAAAGGAAAGCCTATAGGCTTGGTGCATTTCAGTTGATTTCAACAAATTCCGACCGTAGCGCACTCTATGGCAGAAATCAGAAATTATCAATATATAGTTCATGCCGCGGGTTCATGCCATGTCGATCACATTAAAATAATATTGAAATCGGGGTTTTGTCATAATATTTAAGTATTTTAGTTTTTTGCTAGTGCAGTTGTTGAAACTATAAAATACTCAGGTACGAGGTTTGTGTGACGCTCTACCCGAAACGCTCGCTGTTTCGTGTAGTAAAAAACAAGTGAAAGAGAATTCGAACTAGGCGTCTTGTGTTGTGACAATTTCAAATGTTAATAAAATTCCTCAAAAAAATGTTATAGCGTACAGGAGAGCGTAATTAGGGCGTTGTTGCGTGCAATACTCACTCACTCACTGCCATTATTCGCTGACGAGTATTTGACACGCATCAGAAGATGGTTACGCAAGGCGTTTTCTTTCATGAGCTTTCCTGTGACTGAAAATCCCGATACGTGATGGTATCTCTCTTCCGCACTCCGGACATTCAAAAATCTCGTATGTCAGCGGTATGGCACCCAGGTTGGGTGCAACATTCAATAACTCCACTTTCCCGGATATTCAACTCTCCCGAAACAACATTTTATAGCTTCATAATTTCTTCCACCGATTTGATCAATAGCAAAAAATGGATTCAAGCAGTTCGACGAAACAAGTTTAGTGAGTAAACAAAGTGCTCGTTACATAATCGAAAAATTAAATAGACATATACTATGAGAGGATGAAATATAATTTGTGTGTGTGCAATATTAATTGTATACCTTTTTAATCAACTAGTGATTAAATGTTTTATAAACACCTTCTAAAATTATAATTATGTACCTTTAAAAAATTTCGTTATGTATAGCCGAAATAGCCCCACTAGCAAAACCGGTGATAAAACTATGCTCGCTACCGTAGTTGAACTCATTTTATTTTTTTTTTAACTGGAATAATAAATTATAATGCAAGTTAGACCTTCTGAAGATATCAAAATATTTATCGTTTAGAATTTCCACAAATTATAATTTTTAACACATTTAGAATAATTATATACTATTTTTTCGTTTACTCGCCATTTAAACCCGTGTATTTGTATGTATTCGTTATTTACGATATTTTCCGGCAGTGGCAGCACCGGCGGAGAATGCACCAAGCCTATTACCGAAATAGCTCCAATTATGAACCTAGTAGCCAAACCGGTGCGTAAAACTATGCTGGCTACCGTAGTTAAAATACCTAAAAAGTTATTTTAGGTGGAATAATAAATTATAATACAAGTTAGACCTACTGAAGGTATCAATATATTTACATTTTTATTTTTATTTTTAGAATTTTCACAAATTATACTTCCTAACACTTCTATAATAATAATATAATACATTTTTCGTATACTCGCTATTTAAAACCGTGTATTTGTATATATATGGTGTAGTGATGGGCAAAACTGTTATTTTTAGATAACAGTCGAAACTGTTATAGTTATTTATAAAAAACAGCTTAAAATAACAGCTTAAAAATAACAGGTTTCTTTATTTTTCTGCTAAATATCTGAAAGAGTATGAGGCGGTCACCGCCAGGCGTATTAAAGCAGTTGCAAGTTGCAACAATGACGTACTCGGTGGTAGTATTTCCAGGGTGTCAAAACATTTCTATATATATCGATTGTTATCTAAAATACCTCTCTAAAAATGGTGGTTGTTTACAAATAAGCGCTGTTTACAAATTGCGATATAAAAAAAAGCCAAAATTCCGCCACTCGTCTATACCTATACATTCCGATCTACCTACACCCTGCCTCTCGATCCGGGTAGATCCTGAATTGCGTAGCAGTGTACAGGGTGCATCTCACTCCACGGGCGAGAAGCTTTTAGTTATGATTTTACCATTAGCGGTAAAAAAATAAGCAATATATAAGAAAACGTGTAGTATATTCTTCATAAGTAAACCAACTACACACTAGAGTTCGAATTAATTTTACACTTAAACTAGCGTGTACCCGCGACTTCGTTCGCGTCGAATTAATAATTTCTAATGGTGATGATGAGCAAAACAAGAATTTCCATTAACATACAAACTGGATAAAATTTTCTCACATTTCCCAAAAATAAGCTTTCTAACGTCGGGCAGTTTAAGCAGAATCGTGGTTAATCAATTACTCAACTTTTTGGAACACCCTGTATGATTTTTTAAAAAAATTGAAAATATGTAAAAAAAATAAAATAAATTATGCGTGTCCAGGCGTTTTCCCGAAAGACTAACCTTTTTTTAAATAACAAATATTGCAATATTTGAGGGGCGTTTTCACCCTGTTGGAATTTGAGATTCGATTGGGTACCCCTCCTTATCGAACCTAAACCCACAGTCAATCCGTTTGCCAAAAATCAGCTTTAAACGTAAAGCAGTTTAAGCAGAATAGTGATTACTCAATGGTCATATTTTATGAAACACCCTGTATATATTTTCAAAAAAATCTTAAAATATGTAAAACAACATAATAAAATATACGTGTTTTAAGAGTTTTTCCGAAAAACTCACCGGTTTTTAAATAAAAAATATTCTAATGTTTGAGAGTAGTTTCACCCCCTTAGAATTCGAGTTTCGAAAAATCCCTTCTTATCGAACCTCTACACACTAAAGTCAATCCGTTTTCCAAAAATCAGCTTTTTACGTCAAGGGCTTTAAGCAGGATCGTGATTAATCAATGACCAGATTTTTCAAAACACCCTGTATACATTTTTAGAAAATCTTAAAATATTATTCTGAAAATTTTCAGAATAAATAAATACCTAAATATTGAAACTTAATAAGTAAGTACTGAAACATACAGCGCCCTAATATCTCGACCTCTGTCCGTTATGCTCGTAACAGGTTGAAACAGAATGTATCTAAAACAACTGATGCGTTATTCCCCAACCTGTTTCAAACCTCCATCGACAATCGACCGATGCAGCAGCGTTCCTTTTCCACTCCGATTATCTCGACCGCCGCCCTGTTATGCTCGTAACAGGTTGAAAAACAACATATCTAAAATGACTGCTTCTCCAACCCGTTGCGAGCCTCCATCGACAATCGACCGATGCAGCAGCGTTTCTTTCCCACTCCTGTTATCTCGACCGCCAGGCGTTATGCCCGCAACTGTTTCAAAAAACCTGCTTCTTTTATATCCTATTATTTTTAAGCTGTTGCAAACCCAATACGACCATCGACGGTTTCGACCGAAGCAGCTACGTTCGCCGTAGCGCTTTCCCCACTCCGTTGTCTCGCCGTCTGTATCGATGGTTGACGAAATAACATGTTTTCCATCCATACTAGTTGTTTTTTGGAATTGCTTCGAGCAGCATAGAATTTCGTGGTGGTACAGAGCGGCGACTTCGTTTTTCGTTTCACGAGCGGCCGATCTCTACGTGTCGTTATTTTATATCTGTTATTTTTTAGAAGTAGTAACGGTTGCGTTATGTTATTTATAAATAATTGTTATAAAATAACAGATAGTTAAATAACAACCCATCACTAATATGGTGGCAGCACCAGCGGAGAATGCACCAAGACTATAATAGAAAGGTTTTATTTAACATGTTCAAAAATTACCTGAGATCTTCAGGTCAGCATTGCAACAAATTGAAACTACTTGAAAATAATAACAAATAGGCTACGATTTAGCATATTTGTTATTATTTTCTAATAAAGCTACTGAAACGTAAGTAAACAACCGATTAAGCCACCACAAGCTATCTAGCGCAGTATTGAATAAAATATTTCTTACTTATGCTCATCACAAAATTTGGCTAAATTCTGTATCACAGCTGCTATTTTGTACTGAAGCATTTCCAGGCCATCCCTCAGGATGATCAAGTCGGTGTTATCGCCAACAAAACACGATGTGGCTCCCAAATGTATAATGGGTGCGGCCAATGGACACAATTTTGCAAAAACGTGAACGTGGGCCATAACGTCGTGCCTGGTAAGCTTCTCCTCTTCAGCAGCATCTTGAAAATCGATGTCGTAGACATGATTCTGCATCTCCTCGATTTGCTCATCTTTGATATCCAAACCGAGCTCCTGTAACAGATAATGACAGCGTCAAAGTCAAAACTTTCTGGCAATTCAAAAACATGCCTAAAAACCGAGGTATTCAAAATAATGAAGAGTACATAAAAGAACAAGAGGCGATAAAGAGGAAAAAAAGAAAAGCGGCTAAAGAATGTCTTCAAATGGCTGGGTTCAGTATACTGGAGTTCGTAAGTTAAATATTTATACATAAATAGGGCGTATTCAATAACATAACGTTTTAGGTATTATGCATGATATGTCTGATACTCTTTCTTCTTATACATGCCAAAATACACAGACTATATGCTCATGTACCCGAGACTAGGCGAGTTACATCTTCGCGCCATATTTTGCTGTTACCACTGCCAATGATAGTAGCAAGTGTATATCTAGCTCTAACTTATGTAGATTTGATGTCTTTTCTTACTATGAGGTAAAGTTAGCTATACGTATATAAGTTATTCAAATAACGTATATTTACTACATAATTCATTTATGAATTCGCATATAGAAATACACTGAATATTATATTGATTTAACAAATAAATAATGTGTCTTTTACATGTGAATTCATTATTTACATCGTCTACATACTCTAAACATTTTTGATGGAAACACATGATACAAACATTTTTTTATAAACACTAATAATCATATAATTAAAAAATTTTATACAATTTTTTTATATTAGAACTGTTATTTAAAATGCTTAAAATTTACGGTGGATTTCTATATTCAAGCTGGGCGATGTGAATTAATTTCATCACCAGAATTAAACTAGTCCGGTTCTGACTTAGTAAATTCAAGATGGGTGCGGTTTTTAATTAATCAGATTTTACAGGTATAGAACTTAAATCGAACACAAACAAAACTTTTCTGTATGGATTTCTCACTCAATTATGTGTCTTTTTTGGGGTGTCTTTTCAGTGTGATTGTGTTCTGAGCTGTTTCTGTTTGATTTCAGTTCAATACTACTACTACTGCCATTACTCGCTGACAAGAAATTGACAGGCATCAGAAGATGGTTTTCTGTGACTGTGAAGCCCGATACGTGATGTTATCTCTCTTCCGCACTCCGGACATTCAAAAATCTCATTACTTTGTTGCCTCTTTACTTTTTGATTGTTGTTGTTAACTGAGTTTACAATTCTTCTCCATTGCGTTCTATTGTGCGCTGCTTCCTCCCACTGATTCTACATGCGTATCCCCTTTAAGTTTTCGTGGAAAATATCCTTATACTTTTTGAGTTGTCCACGCGGTTTTCTCTTACCGTCTACAAGCTCACCGTAAAGAAGAAATTTCGGTAGGCGGTTTTCTTGCATCCTGCATACGTGATCAGCCCATCTTGAGCGGGATTTAGTCATAATGACTTCAGCGCTCTCGTAGCTAGCTTTTTCAAGGATCGATACGTTGCAGACATGGTTGTACCCATAGACTTAAAATAAAATATAGACTGAGCATCTCATTCATAAATAGCTGGAACATGCGGTCAGACACTGTCTTGTTATTGTTGTGTTATTGTTTTAGGTTATAACGAGTGCGACACGAGCGATAGATAGGTTGTCTCTGTCGTAACGGTCGTTCCCTGACGACTCTGCCGAGAAACACAACACTGTCTTTCGTTTCTCAAGTACACCTGAACTCTCCGTATCATAGCCGGGTAATTTTTTTATTTTAATGAAGCTATAATTAAATTAAAAATATATCGTATTTAAACTTTTTTATATTTTATTAAGATTTAGGACAGGTTTTTAAATAAAACTTTAGAAAAAACAATTTAGAGTCCAAAAGGATAAAATAATAAAATACACGTTATAGAAGAAATTTTATAATCGAAATTAGGTAATTTTGAAATTAATAATAAATTATTAATTTTAGTCAAACATTTACAACCCCTAATATTAATCAAAACAGGATCTATTCCACAGATATAATAGAATCGGCGACAGGGAGAGAAAAAAAAAATATGATTGTTGTAATTTTTTTTTCTGGTTAAGTGATGTCTTATTATGTAAATTAGAGAAAACATAATATCTGTTCCATTAAAGCAAGGAAGGTGATAGGAAGTGGATAAAATAAAAACTACATTTATTTAACTCGGTACTGTCTTTATTATACCGGGTGCGTCTCAAAAGTGGCTCATCCCCATAATTTTTTATATTTTCAAATAAAAAACAAGATTTAGTATGCTAGTATATGAAATAAATTAGGATTGATTGACGCATTCAATTGTTTTTGGTCACTTCCTGTTTCACCGGAAATGACTATAACTTTTAATTTTTAAACGGCACCCTCGGTATATTTCTACTTTATTCGATAGAAAATGACACTCTGAATAGAATGACATACCATATGTCAACTTTTGACATTTTCGCATATGGTTTAATTGTAATTGTAACACGCGGTTCATAACGACAATTTGACTCGAAATACCAAGTGTGTGGTATCAATATATTCATAAAAAATGCTTTTTCCAAATATGCTAATGAGTCACCTTTGTTCCATTTGAAAAAATTGACATATGTATGATTAAAAATACGATTTGTACATCTTTTAACCGGCCTAGACAAGACACGAAACCTATTAGACGATCAAAACTATTTTTCCAAGGCTCCTTGATTAAAACTTAGTGGATTGAAAAAAACTGGATTGAAATTTAAAATAGGATATGTTTTTAAGCGACAATGTCAAAAGTTGACATATAATATGTCACTCTATTCAGAGTGTCATTTTTTATCGAATAAAGTAGCAATATACCGAGGGCGCCTTTAAAAATCAAAAGATGTAATCATTTCGGTGAAACAGGAAGAGACCAAAAACAATTGAATACGTCCAATAAATCCTAATTTATGTCATATACCTACTAACATACAAATCTGTTTTTTTATCTGAAAAAATAAAAAAAAGTTATAGGGGTGAGCCACTTTTGAGACGACCCGTATATTAAAAATACTGTTTCATAATGTAATATCATTTTAAAATTCTTGTATGTTATTTTAGATTCTGAAGATAATTTTAGAATAAACCGGAATATATTTTTAATAAAAACATTATTAATTATTAACACGGTTATAATTATGATTTTGTTTCAATGTAAGTAAGTAAATAATGTAATGTAAAAGAAAAAATTCAGATTTTACATTTTACTAAAATATTATCTAAATAAGCGCCTTTCTACAACAACGCCACTGACTCCCAATGGGTAAATTGAGAGTTGCCTACCGGTCAAAAGTCGTTTCAAGACTTAAATGGATTATTTAAGTCAAATTTCTTGCAAATTTGGCACTGGCGAACCATATTTTATAGTTTTTGAACAGAAAAAGTCAATAAAATAAACACTTAAGGACTACAAGCTAAGAAAATGCGTTAATACAGCCGGGGAGATAGCGGCAACAAAGCTTTACCGCACACGTGCGACACGTACTACAAGGTAATAAATGAATGAATAGGCTCCCTCGCCTCTAATCGGTGTTGTCATATTGTAAAGAACTTATCCTTATTAAATAGTATCCGACTTATAATTGAGTAGTATAAGGACTATTTAATACATCTATGGAATATTAAAACCTACTTTATTAAACTGTAGTATTAATATCTCAATATATGTGTATAACAAGAAAAAAATATTGATAATATTAAAGACGTGACAACATAGGCTGGATGAGGAAGGCTCGGTCGACTGTACCCAGAAGTAAACATGTGTACAAAAAAGGTTGTTTGTCCGCGTTGAGATGTAAATAGTGTAGTCTATATTTTATTTTAAGTCTATGGTTGTACCATTGGATTCTTAAGAGTTGTCTAAGGTGCCCGGCGATACGGCACCCAGGTTTCGCTTCTATATAACATGGTGGGAATTATTATTGCTCGGTACACTGCAAGTTTCGGTTTTTGTGTACAAGTCATGATTGTCGAAAACCCTGTCTTATAATTTCCAGAATGCTCTTACCGCGCTGCTAATTCTGTGCTGAATTTCACAGTCGATATTGGCCGTTTTTGAAATCAAACAGCCGAGGTAATTGAATTCCGCTACATATTCCAATAGTTCTTCTCCGATTTTTATAGCATTGTTGTGATTTTCCAGGAAAATGCACATGATTTTAGTTTTACTGATGTTCAGCCCAAGGCCCAAAGCCTCGTATGCCCAGGTATATATGTCCAGTATTCTTGTAATTTCGTGTTTTTGTCCTAGGCCTGTTTATGTTAAACAGACAGCCGTCGTATCTGTATCTAATGCCCATTCCTCTTTCCTGCAGTTCCACTATAATAGAGAGCGCTGCCATAAATATGTTAAATAGGAGAAATCGCTAAGACACATCCCTGCGTAACTCCCGTATTTGTCAGGAAGGGATCGCTCAGTGATCCATGATATGACACTCTAAATTTGTTGTTGTTATGGAGACTTAGCCACAATAGGCCATCGCGGCCTCAGTGGAGGGTCCCACCTGGGACTCACTCTTAGTAAAATACAATATGGAGACTTTTACACACTGTAATAAATTTGTTGCGTATCTTTGTTTACAGAACCGAAGGCTTTTGTTAGGTCGATGAATGCAACATAAAGTTTATTCTGCTGCTCCGTTACCCGTAGTTGGCGGACGGAGAATATGGAATCAAGGGTACCGCGGTTGGTGCAAAAGCCCGTTTGTGATTCTGGAAGAATTTTTTCCATATATGGGTGTAGGCGGTTTGACATAATTTTTGCAAGAACTTTTCCTCCGATAGATTCGCATAGATACGAAAGTCCTGAGGTACCTCTCCGCTTTCCCATATGACATCGAAGAGAGTCTTAAGGTGACCAATAAGTTCTTCACTTGCACACTTATAGATTTTCACCGGAATCACGTCAAGCTAGCCGATTTGTTGTTTTTAAGTTGTTTTATGGAGGTCTTTATTTCCTGTTCCGTTATTGGGATATCTAATACATCAATGCTGTTATATTTTAGGTATTTCACCGTATTGTGCCTTGATTGGGCAGCTTACGTTCTTGGTTGACTCGTATACTTCTATTACAACGTTGAAAAATATCGAAGGCCTCGGTGGTATCGTTGTTTCCTAGACTCAGTACGTTCAATCTGGTCATGTTTTGCTTTTTACAGTGTGGACGTGTGGGTTTTAACTGGATTCTCATTTCTGAAATTAAAAGTCGGTGATCGGTACCACATTCAGCATCTATCCTGGCTTTTGAAAGTCTGACATCTGTAGATGCGTCCTTCGAACGATTGCGTGATCCAATTGAGGCCAGTGACCTGATCGGGGATGTTTCCAGGTTCCTTTAAACTTGTTCTTCAGCATGAATCATGTATTGGTGATGTAAAGATTGTGCATGTTGTTTTCACCATTACTATTCACGTTTCCCATTCCATGTTTTGCCAATACATCAGGCCGACTTCCTCGCTGATTGCCGACACGGGCATTTTCAGCGAAATCCATTTCAATACATAACCTATTTGAACAGATGTAAAATACGATTCATTAAAAACCGTCGCTATTCTAAATTTAGGGAGCCAAAACCCACCCAGTCTAACTACTATCACAATCGCAGTCTAGTTTTTATGTTATAGAAAAAAAAACAACCAATTTGCTTTTAAAATTCTAAACTGATTGCTAAAACAGTTAAAAAAAAGGCTCAAATATATCAACTACAACTAAAACTAAAAAGAAGAACAACTAGAAGTAGTAAAATTAATATATTTTTTTTTATTTTTTAGGCCTATCACATACTATGCCTGGATAATGGTATCAGCAAGTGGCTTCTTGCTATTCTTCTTAGCTGCTGGAGTGCTGATACTTGAAAGTACAGTTGTAGCCGTTCTTGTTGCAATCGTATTTGCAATCATAACCGGTGTAGTTTTTCTTATAGACTTAATTTGCCTATTCCTGTAAGTACTAGATGTTTAAAATAAAACAAAGTGTACAGTAAATGTTGTATTTTTTGTAGTGTTTTAAAACGGTTTCCCGTACCACACTGGGTGCTAACACGCTGGAAAGAACAAACTGATTGCTGTATATGTGCTGGTAAATAATTAACATGTTTAATACATTTTTTGAATCTCGAATATAACGTATTTCTTCATCTTTTTTAGATAACGGCGACATTGAAGAAGAAGGTAACATATATGAAGGCCTATTTAGTTTAATACGATCAAACAACGTAAAAAAAAATTTTCCCATTATAATTTCGATCAATATTTTTTCGCTAACCAAAACATAAGTCTAATAATATATTTCCTCTCACGTAACTATACAAGGTGCTACAAATTCGAGGTACCAGCATTGGTATCTCGGTAACCGTAATAGACACGAACATGGTTAAATTGGGGCAAAGTTGCGCTTTGGGATGTTCATCAAGATGCCATTTCAAAGATTGCTGAGTTTTTGGAAAAAAAAACGGCTTTTTTTGAAAATCAATTTTATTTTTTCCTGTGTCATACTCTCATAGCCACTTTACTAGGGCTATCTGATAGTAATTTTAGATTTTCAAAATAGCTGATAATTTGTGAGATACAAAGGCCAACTTAATTATTTTAAATACGGACCTGCATTTTTTATTTCATGTTTTGAAATAAATCGGTCTCCTGAGTACAATGATATGCCATACTTTATACTTTTTTTTTGGGTACCTTAACAACAAAACTATTTAATTGTTATTTAAAATAATTTCAAGTCCGACTCTGTTTTTTTTTAATTATTTAATCTGATTATATTCATCCCAACAATATTGATCAGTGCTAATTAACATTCAGGTCATCAATTTAAAGATATTATTTTTAACTTTTTTTTATTGTAAATTTGAAATCTCAGTGTTCGATAAACACATAATATTAATCGTAAATATTATAACTAAATCAACTTCTACAAACTGGTTTCTAATGTTCTAAACATTACATGTTCAAAAGGGTTACCACCCTCCCTATTGCGCAAATTTATTTTTCGTTCAATTTTATTTGTAGCTCTTTGAACTTTCTTCTTATACTTCCGAATGCATTTTGTACTCTTTATCAGGTCCAGGAACCTCGCTAGCCATTATACGGCTCTACTATTTCCAATCCACCTTTTGGGGAGATGATTTGATTGTTATATTTATATTATTTTTTTTTATTGTATTTGATTTTCCATTTTCATCGTTTTACCTCACGTCATTGTTAAGTCATTGTTAAGTCTAACATGGGCCGCATTCGGCAAACTAAGATATGTGTTAAAATCAGATCTACCAATGTGCTTAAAGAGGAAGGTGTTCCATCAGTGCGTTATGCAAGTACTTACATATGGCGCAGAGACACTTACACTGACTAAAAGGTCCATAGAAAAAATCCGTGTAGCCCAACGAGCTATGGAAAGAGCAATGCTTGGTGTATCTCTAAGAGACAAGATACCCAGTACAGTTATAAAACAACGTACACGAATAACAGATGCTATATATCTGCTTAAAAAACTCAAATAGAACTGGGCTGCGCATATTGCCAGAAGAACGGATGATAGATGGACCAAGCTAATACTAGAATGGCGGCCAAGACAGGATGCTCTCAGAAACAGAGGCAGACCTCCGACAAGATGGTCAGATGACTTAAAGAGATTTAGGGGAAACTGGATCCCAGTGGCACAGGACCCAGAAGAGTGGAAAGATTTGAGGGAGGCCTACGTCCAGCACTGGACACTTCAGGAGGGTTGATGATGATGATGATGATGATGATTGTTAAGTTTGAAAACTTATCAATATTGTAACGATGAATAGATTAAATATTAAAAAAAAACAGGGGTGAACTTGAAATAAGTTTAAATAAATTGTGTTCAAATGTCCGAAACAAAAAAATATTAAGTGTGGCATATCATTGTACTCAGGAGACCGAGTTCCTTCAAAACCTGAAATAAAAAATGCAGATCCGTATTTAAAAAAATTAAGTCGGCCTCCATATCTCACAAATTACCAGCTAATTTTAAAATCTAAAAATACTCTCAGATAGCCCTAATAAAGTGGCTATGAGAATATGCAATTAGTTTTTTGATTTTCTAAAAAGTAACGACAAAAAAAATAAAATTGATTTTCAAAAAAATCAGTTTTTTTCCAAAAAACTCAGCAATCCTTGAGATTTTTAAAACTTTTTTGATGGCATCTTGGTGAACATCCCAAAGCGCAACTTTGCCCCAATTTAACCATGTTCGTATCTATTACGGTTACAGATATACCAATGCTCGTACCTCGAATTTGTAGCATCCTGTATAGGAACATGCATGGTAATCTTAAAAAAAATAAATTAAGATTATTACGTCAAAATTATGCACTAATTTATTCTCCTTTTAGTTAAAAGACCTCTATGTCGCTGTGGAGATGTCTGGGGTAAGTACAAATTTGAAAAAAAAATGTATTTGAAAGTCTATATAAATTTCTTCTTCAGATGAACCCTGTGTTTGTGACATAATGCCAGGAGGTATGTGCAAATGTGGAGCTGTGGAAACAGGTAAAACCGTCTGTATATATACGAAATCTTCTAGAATGCAACGTTATGCTTTTAGGGGAACCCCCTTGTCCTTGCTGCGTCTGCGTTCCCGAGGACGGCCCTGATAATATATCGAGGCCTGAGAATATTCACGACCTAATATCTGTGGGAACAGGAAGGGACTTTATCGAACCGAGCCTGGCAAGATCGGTCCATTCGCAAATAATGACAGACCGTCAATTAATTTGTGTCGATGGTCCAGCTAGAGGACCTAGTAAAAGCATTAGGCCAAGCGCTAGGCCAAGCACTTTTGGTTACCTACCAGGTAAGGCTAAAGTAATTATACAGTTCATACCAAATAAACTTTTAGTCACGTGATTAGGCTTGACTGGCACAGAGTTGCCCACTTTTCCCAAGGCCCAAAGTCTCGTATGCCCAGGTATATGTGTTCAGCATTTCCTGTAATTGCTGTAACGTATTTGCAACTAGAGCGCAGTCATCAGCGTATTGGAGTTCTGTGATAAATTTTGTACGTGTTTTTGCCCTGAGTCTTTTTATGTTGAACAGACCGCCGGCATACCTGTATTTAACACCCATTCCTCTTTCCTGTAGTTTGCTGTCCATATATAATATGGACAGCAAACACTGATAATATGGAGCAGCGCTCTCCTATAATAGAGAGCGCTGCCATGAATATGTTGAATAGGAGAGGAGCTAGGACACATCCCTGCCTAACTCCTGTATTTGTCAGGAAGGGATCGCTCAGTGATCCATGATGTGACACTCTCGACTTGTTGTTATGGAGGCTTTTACACACAGTAAGAAACTTGTTGGGCACTCCGAACTTTTGCATAATTGCCCAAAGTGCATCTCTGTTTACAGAGTCGAAGGCTTTCGTGAGGTCGATGAATGCAACATACAGTTTACTCAGCTGTTCCTTTACTTTTTCCTGTAGTTGGCGGACGGAGAATATGGAATCGACTTGTTGTTATGGAGGCTTTTACACACAGTAAGAAATTTGTTGGACACTCCGAACTTTTGCATAATTGCCCAAAGTGTTTACAGAGTCGAAAGCTTTCGTTAGCTCGACGAATGCAACATAAAGTTTACTCTGCTGTTCCTTTACTTTTTCCTCTAGTTGGCGTACGGACAAAATGGAATCAACGGTACTGCGGTTGGCGCGAAAGCCCGTTTGCGATTCTGGGAGGATTTTTTCGATATGTGGGTGAAGGCGGTTTGAACTTTTCCTCCGATAACCAGTAGTGAAATTCGTCGGTAGTCTCCGCAATCTGATGCACTTCCTTTGTTCTTAAATATATTAACTATATTCGCGTTGCGAAAGTCCTGAGGTACCTCTCCGCTTTCCCATATGACATCGAAGAGAGCCTTAAGATGACCAATAAGTTCTTCACTTGCACACTTATAGATTTCCGCTGGAATCGCGTCACAGCCAGCCGATTTGTTGTTTTTAAATTGTTTTATGGAGGCCTTTATTTCCTGTTCCGTTATTGGGATATCTAATACATCGATGCTGTTATACTGAGATATTATGTTTAGTGCTTGCATATTGGGGATGTTGTCTTGGTTAAGGATATGGCTGTAATGCTCTTTCCAGCGATTTCTGACTTGCTCTTCCTCTTTTAGAAGTTCACCCTTGTGTACCTTGATTGGGCAGCTTACGTTCTTAGTTGGGCCGTATACTTCTTTTACAGCCTCGAAGCAAGACTAAGGTTTTAATCAGGCATAAGGCAAGACTAAGGTTTAAATCATTTAAACGTTATGTGGAAATTGACTTAAGATTTAAATCATTTTGATTTTAGAAACGACTTAAGTCTTCTTCAAACTGACTTGTTGCCAGCTCTGACTACTATAAATCATTTTAGATGTCCTAGACGGGTGGAAAATATTCATTATTAAACGTCGTGGTGTTGGATATAGTAATATTTGAAACATATTTCAGATATGAGAAAAAGTATGGCTCGTGATAGAGGCACGACCTCAAGAGTAGACATCGAAGTGGGCTCCGGATACGACAGCCCCAGCGCGAAAATTTCCTACAGTGCCAGGCCATCCACTATTTCGGGTGTACCATCACAAACCAAAAGGAAATCGAGAATGATGAGTAGGGTACTAGTTGGAGATTCGACAGATGAAGATTTGTATATGCCGTCAAGACGTAAGAGTATAATGTTTGTGAAAGCGTTTCGAAATTGACAGTTTTTGATATTTATTTGAGATTCGAAATGACATTCTTTTAGGCACTAGTATCTAAAAGTGACACTTGTTTAGGCACTAGTGCCTAAAAGTAAAAAATGAAACGTTAGAAACAATGAAAATATTTAGTTATTATAAATCTTAGGTACAATTATTTAAATTATTAAAGTGAATACTCAAGTCTCTAAGAGAAATGCAAGTTGTAGGACTCGGAATAAGTAAATTTCTTGTACTGGCAATGCTGGTAGCTTCTGCTTCTACGTGAACGGATTTTAATTTCTTATTTGGCGTATATTTCTGTCCCATGATTCTTTTTGCTATTTCGGTTTTCTGTTCAATTGAATTTTCAATAATGTAACCTTCAGCAATCGAGCTTGATCGCCAACCTCCATGTTGCTTTAAAACTGTTATGTCCGCTCCTGAATCTGCCAGCATTGTTGCAGAGCTGCGCCGGAAACAATGACCAGTGTATTCAATGGCGTTGGAGAGTCCAAGAAATTCCGCTGCTACTAGTTACTACCAGAGGGCGTTAAATCGGAATTTTTTTGTAGTTTCCATAGTTTCCAACGGCCATTGTCATATTCAATGACTAAAGAATACAAGAACATGTAACGGCCATATACGGACTGCGGCAGAATTTGTGACCTTAGACGCCATATTATCAAATGATTATCCAAACGATTTTCAAAGTATAATTTTTCTTATATGTGTTTTAATTAGACAATTCGTTTTGTTTGTGGCCTCAAAAAAAAGTAAGTCTTCTATTTTTTCCATCATTTAAGTACCTATTTATATTTACTCCGTCTACAAAACTTTGAGTGTGTTACGTTGGTCTTGTTTTATTATATAAACAATGTTCATATATTTGACTTCTATTTTTTGTATGTATAAATTTTACTATTAAATTTTATTTTTTACACAACACATCATAGTAAAACTTTACATTAAATTTGTTAATATTGTGTAAAAAATAACTTTTAAGATGGTTGTCATATTTAAAATGGTAGTTTCAAGTGAAATTATATTGTTATGGATTTCGTGGGTCCACTAATTTAAACTCACGATAAAATACTTAACGATTTATTTTTCTTTTACTTTATACACAATTTATACTAATAACACACAATTAACTACTTATAAACTTCCTTCGCCAAATTGTCCGATTCGTAATAATTTAAAGCGCGGTATATTCAAACTTCAAAAACTGTCCCAGTTGTCGATTACGCCGGCTTATATACTCTATTGACTGCTTCTCGAACCTTCTACAATTCTCGGAGAGCGTTCTACTTCATACTGGACAATTCCATTGTCTGATTCGCTTACTTGTCGATTTGATTAAGAGATGGCGCCTAAAAATGTCTTTTACTTTCTGGCGGATGCGCCATTTTTCTTGACACGTTGCGGTTGTGTAAGCAACCAGTAATACATTTTAGCGCTACATACATCTTGACCTTGACAATATAAATGAGGGTATTTAAATTCAGACCCTCACAATAGATGGCACCACTAACATGGAACCATTTTTTAGTAAAGCACTTTCCTTCCTTTTTAACAGTTTTATCAGTTCACTCTGAATAATATCAAAATATTTAATTAAAATAAGCTTTTATGTTAATTTTATTATCTATTTCAGCAAGTATGATGCCTCGACAATCATCAGCGGTTGGTCCACGGGATGGAAGAAAATCGACTGTGAGTGATCTCATATTTAAATAAAATAAAATAGACGATTACAAGGCGAAAATTCGCTCGAGTACTCGATTATTGAAATAACCGACACCGCTCAATTATGAACGAGCGATGCAAGTGACGAGTTACAAGCGACGAACGCAAGCCATCCTAGAATGAAATAAATTGAAATCCGATTTTAATGTGACACACTCGATAAAAAGCCGAGCGAATTTTCTACATACATTGCAGGTAGCAAAATTATACCACGCCGTATATATATTTATCCGTTGCGTCTCTGAAGGACAAAATTTTACGACCTACATTGACAATGCTTTGAAATAAACTAAAGACTAAATCAAGCGATCAAGCTAATCGCTCGTCGCTTGCTACTTGCCAGTCATCACCGAAAGAATATGTGCCCTGCGCACGCAACTTACTGTTTGGAGCTTGGCGTTAACGAGTACTTACAACAAGCGACGGTCGAAAACCCGTATTTTTAAATACGAGTGATATTTCGCTCGAGCGATCATTCGGTTATCGCAATCGCTTGAAACTCGATTATTGAAGTTACTGGAATTTACTCGATTATTGAAGTTAATCGGTTTTTTCCATCACTAATCATTATCTATTTTTGAAAACAAATAAAATTCGTTAAAACTTATAGGTAACCGAAATATTTAATAAGAATAAGTAACTGCATTATTTTTCTAATTAGATATACACGGTCCCTCAAGACAATTTACCTGGCCAGGTACCCCGAAAATCCACCGTATCGTCCAAAATAATTAATAGTCCCAGAGACTCCACTTGGTCAACTAGATCAACAACTGCATCAAGAACTAGGATAACCGTGGAACAAGATGCGAGACCAAAAAGCGAAGGATCAAGTAGTAAGTCAACACTGATTAATTTAAAGTGTGGTTCTTTATTTCGGTGAGTCCTTGAACTAGAATTTTTAGAGATATCATCATTCATTGCACCTTCTCCAGAAAATCAGTCTGGCAATCCTGTTTTAAACGGATCTATAAAAATAATTTAAAAAAATCGATTTTTCTTTTAAATTCTCGCAGGAATGTCTAATAAAAATAGATAAGTTTTTATTATTAAGAATTTTAATAACTACCAACATTTATTCACAACATAAAATAAAACAACAAATTATTGAGTCTACCCCATGGTACAAAGAATACAAGGTATGATATTGCGCAGGTTGGTCCCTACGTCACAGGTGATAACAGGCGCTATTGGTCAGCACGCTCCGCGCGCCAATTCAAATCGTCAAGATATTGTAATAAACCTGTTTTTTTGTTTATATGTATACCGTCACTGAATTATCGCTAAGCAAGTTACTGTGGAGCAGTCCGTGAAGAGTCAGGCCAGGAAGCGAGAGACGGGAGTTCGAATCTCGGCCGGGACATAACTTTTTATTTAATTTTTTAAATACTGTTGTATTCTATAGTTTACTTTTGTAGTATAAAAAAATAACTATTTATTCTGTTATTTTTTAATCTCCGGTATTAATATAAATTGATTGTTGGTACAATACCTCATTTAATATAAAATAATACTGTAATACCTCATTTAATATAATATACTGTATAATATATAACTACTGTATAATATATAACTGTATATAATATATATACTTAAAAGTAATATATTTTTACAGTGATATACCATATTATAAACTATTTAATATTTCAGTCACTTAAAAAGTTAATTTGCATTGAATAATTGCCTACCATTAAAGGAAATTTGAGCTATAATCCTTGATGGGCATATTCTGGGTATGCAAATACTTCCTCTAAATTTTGGGTTTCGTTCAACCGATTTATTCTCAAAACCTGAAACATCTACATATAAAAGGAAGCACAGGTCACTAATTATAATAAACTTCACCCTTGGAATTACTTCTATCACAATTACAATACATTCATCTGCATTGGTATTTTCTACTTTTTCGATGGGAAACAATCAACTTCCCAACATTTTTTAAATGATGTAACAATTCCTCTTGTGGTTACTTTTCCATAGATATCCTCATCTCTGTTCTCATGTGAATTCAGAGACAATGAACATGAAAATTATTTACCATAAACATCGCAAACTAAAAACCTAATAAACAATTTTATACCGAATATAGAAATAAATTTAGTATTCTTACCTATTAATTATCGTCCAAATCCATGTTAATAGATAATTAATATTTTGGATTTTTGTCTTTTATTTTTAAATATATTTTTGGAACTGCTGGTTTTAATAATTATTAAAATTATTTAAATTATATTTATTCCTTATTTTCCTAGTGACGTCACAGGTGGTATGCGCGAACTGAACGAAATTGGAGCCGCTATCGATCATACCTTGTTTTCTTTGTACCATGAGTCTACCCCATGTCTACTATAGGTGGGAATTCTAGTTCTTCGTGAGGAACTAGTCTTTTAAGAAACCGGGAACTACTTCCTTTCAATCCGTGGTCGGAGTAGTGCATTGGAACTAGTTCGCTCGCGAACTACACACCTCTGATGTGTACCCTATACATCATATTTTTACACGTTTTGAATAAAATTAGAACCGCACTGAGAAACCGAAATTTAAGTCGGCCATTCTAGGACCCCGTCACGGTCGATCTAGGATTTTTGATCTACTCCTTCCTCCTTCCTTAATCTTTTTATTCAAAGCGTCATATTAAAACCATATTTTGTATAAGAACATGGCCTCTTCGAAAAGTCTAATAACTTGCTTTGTGTTTTAGTGATGATTAGGAACGTCTCTACTACGGTAAAGCCCTCCAGAACACTGAGCAGAGTGAATGAAGGTCATGAATGCGGACAAAGTGTCAGAACCGCACCAAGCCAGAGCACAATCACATTAACTAGATGCAACCACTAACCGCAAACGGAGCTGTCAATTTATTTAACTAATTTTAGGGTCATGCCGATCTACATATATATTTTATAGGTTTTGTTACTTTTTCTATGGGTTACTACAATTTAAGCAAATACCTATGTCTGCAATGTTTTACAGTCTTTTACCTATTTATACAAGTGTGTTGTTATTGTAATACGTACTAATTTTCTACCGATTTTTTGTTGTACACTTTATACATCTAAGAACATTTATTTATATCTCTGATATTAAATAAAATAAAACTATTAAAAAAAATTAAGAGAGTTACTATGTTTATAGTTGATTTTTAATCTCTAAAATATACAGGGTGAGGCTTAAATAAGTCCAAATATTTTCAGGGCTGGTAGATCTCGATAAAAGAAACATTTCTCTTCTTTACCGTTTTTTCAAATAAGTCCAAAATAAACGGTTATTTCGAAAAAATAAATTTCTTTCTGTCTTTTCTTTCTTGTAAATTTAGGCTACTACCTATGTTGCCATATTATCAATCGCGATTCCGGCGGAAATCTATAAGTGTGCAAGTAAAGAACTTATTGGTCATCTTAAGGCTCTCTTTGATGTCATATGGGAAAGCGGAGAGGTACCTCAGGACTTTTGCAACGCGAATATAGTGAATATATTTAAGAACAAAGGAAGTGCATCAGACTGCGAAAACTACCGAGGAATTTCACTACTGGCTATCGGAGGAACAATTCTTGCAAAAATTATGTCAAACCGCCTGCACCCACATATAGAAAAAATCCTCCCAGAACCACAAACGGCTTTTCGCACCAACCGCGGTACCGTCGATTCCATATTCTCCATCCGGCAACTACAGGAAGAAGTAAAAGAGCAGCAGTCTAAACTTTACGTTGCATTCATCGATATAACAAAAGCCTTCGACTCTGTGAACAGAGATGCACTTTGGGCAATTATGAAAAAGTTCGGAGTACCCATCAAATTTCTTACAGTGTGTAAAAGCCTCCATAACAATAACAAATCAAGAGTGTCATATCATGGATCACTGAGCGATCCCTTCCTAACAAACACAGGCGTTAGGCAGGGATGTGTCTTAACGCCTCTCCTATTCAATATATTCATGGCAGCGCCCTCCATTATAGTGGACAGCAAACTGCAGCAGAGAGGTTTGGGCATCAGATACAGATACGACGGCGGTCTGTTCAACATAAAAAGACTCAGGGCAAAAACACGTACAAAATTATTATTTTATTATATTCGTATTAATTATTATTACACAGAACTTCAATACGCTGATGACTGTGCTCTAGTTGTAAATACGTTACAGCAATTGCAAGAAACGTTGAACACATATACATGGGCATACGAGGCCTTGGGACTTAAGCTGAACATCGATAAAACTAAAATCATGTGCACTCCCCCGGAAGATCACAACAATGCTATAAAAATTGGAGATGAGCTGTTGGAATATGTAGCGGAATTCAATTACCTGGGCAGTTTGATTTCGGAAAAAGTCAATATCGACTCTGAAATTCAGCACAGGATTAGCAGCGCTTCAAGAGCATTCTGGAAATTAAAAGACAGGGTTTTCTACAATCATGACTTGAGCACAAAAACGAAACTTGCGGTGTACCGAGCGATAATAATTCCCACCATGTTATATGGAAGCGAAAATTGGGTGCCGTACCGCCGACAAATGAACGCATTAAACAAGTTGCAACAGAGACATCTTAGACAACTCTTAAAAATAAAATGGTTCCATCATGTCTCAAACGTATCGGTCCTTGAAAAAGCTAACTGCGAGAGTATTGAAGTCATGATTACAAAGTCCCGCTTAAGATGGACTGGTCACGTATGCAGAATGCAAGAAAACCGCATACCAAAATCTCTGCTTTATGGTGAGCTTATAGACGGTAAGAGGAGGATGGGTGGACAACTCAAAAGGTTCAAGGATATTTTCCACGAAAACTTAAAGGGAATTAACAAGCAGAATGAGTGGGAAGAGGCAGCTCACAATAGAACGGAATGGAGAAAAATTGTAAAGTCAGTTAATAGCGACAACCAAAAAGTAAAGAGGCAACAAAGCAATGAGATTTTTGAATGTCTGGAGTGCGGTAGGCAGATAACATCACGTACCGGGCTTTTCAGTCACAGAAAAGCTCATGAAAGAAAACGCCTTGCTACCATCTTCTGATGCGTGTCAAATACTCGTCAGCGAGTAATGGCGGTATATTATCAATCATTTTTTGTTTTGATATAGCCCATATGTTTGGTATTTCCCTACCAAAATATTTGCTTAACAGACCAAAATATTTGCTTTGCATGTGGTAGACAATGATTCAGTATTAAAACTAAAAGAGTTTTGGAGCATTGTCTTTATTTATTTTGCTTACACAACGTTTCGGTCAAAGTATCACTGACCGTTATCAAGTGTATACTAAACTAGATCCTAAAACTACTGAGCTTATATACTAGAGCCGAGCATTCACCCGTGAATTTGTTGGGTGCAGTCAAGCATGAGCTAAAGAAACTAAATAAGCAACCTATAATAATTTTACTTCCCACATCAAATTTACATATACAGGGTGGCGCCTCCCATACGACGCCGAGGCTCCAAGAAGAACGATAGTCTATATCGAAATAAAATTTTGGGAGCATATGTACGTTAATTGAAAATTTTTTATAAAAATATATGGAGTTCCGCACGTAAAAAGTTACGCATCAAAGAAGTTTTTTTTGTAATGGCACACCCTATATATTAATTGATTTCGGATTCTAAGAGAAAAATAAAGGAGTTTCGTTAAAAAAGAATATTCCTAAAATATAAAGGTATTGACATATTTCACATTGTGTGAAAAAAAAAGAATACATTTTAAATTTCAATAACAGTTACCTAAATTATAATTTACCCTGTATCGCCTGATATTTAATTACAATAACCATTGTACGTTAAAAGAAATAAAAATTTATGCTGATAAGTTATACAGGGTGAGACAAAATTAATATTGAACATTGGTCACTTCTAAAAGACTGTTACTCCTTTATTTTAAATGGAATACACAGTATATTCGTCCGGTATTCAATTGAGAATTCATATATCTCTAAAGTAATATTAAGGTTAATGCTGTCGAACCTCCCATATTTCAAAAAAAATGCTTTAAATGAACTTACATATGCTGGCAAAATTTCATTCCAATTCAAACTGTCGTTCGTCTTTTAGCCGCGACGTCGCCGTCGCGTCGTATGAGAGGTTCTACCCTGTATACACAAAAAACGATAATTTCTATTATATATTTATATACAACTATATATATTTATAACAACAACAGACCAGACATAGTATTCCAAGATCTATTGAAGAAAATAATTTACGTGATTATTGAGACGTGAGAATTCTCGGCGCCATCAGAAAAGAACATAACCAGTAAAGAAGAGGAAAAAAAGGGAAAGTACCAGGAACTAATACGCATGTACGCTGATCATTCTGTAAGGTTAGTAGTACTAGTGATAGGAAATTTAGGAGGAGTAAGACACCCTGCTCCAACAATTAAAATTGATTCCGGCATGTCATAATGTAGCGGAACGACTTGCTGCCAGCATGCAGAAGGCTACAATTTTGGACTCTCAGAATACTCAGGGCACACGTACAATTTTGGGCTCTCTCAGAATACTCAGGGCACACGATACGCGGATTCAGTGAATGGCTTACCGGACGGACGTCAGGAGTTGAACACCGGAAAAGGATACAGGCAGGTTTCCTTCAAATGTCGGAGCTAAAGAAAGCAAACTGATTTTGCGAGAAAAAAAGTATAAAAATTATAAAAAAAACTGTTTAAAACCGGTAATAATTTATTTTTATTACAATATAATTCAAATCATTCAGACGCATGGTAAGTGTGTGAACAAACAACAAGCAAAAAATCCTCGAGGACCAATACTCGAAGATTGAAATTATCCGGTTATTCCCAACACTAGTTCAAACTGTGTTTGCAATATTTTCCTATAATTTCCTTATCCCCAAACTACTTTTGAAATAAAAAATTTAGTGTAAAACATTCAATTTATAAAAAATTTTGTAATCATTTTTCTACACAGATTACTTAGAAAAAATAATAAAAAGAAATAATCATTCCATAGAATTCCAAACACATAAAATTCGTAAACAATGGAGATCAATTTTAGTTAATATAAAGAAATAAATTTGATAAAGAAAAATTCCTTTATTTCTTTATTTTGCCTCAAACCGCGTATGCAAAAGAACTGTTCAGCCTTTCGGTTCAGCCGTTCATCCTAGAAGCAAAAAGTGATCTTAAAATAAATTAAATCACGTTTTTGCTTGCTTTACTGAGTAAATTAACGTTTTAAATATGTTAGTTTTCCCTAGAAAAGTCCATAGACATGGTTTTAACACTTTGTACATTATTCTAAATTCAGTACAAATGGTACAACAATACAATCTGTAGTCAACTACGTACTTATGTTACGTCGAAACTTTTGACGTTTAAAAGTCACTTGTCACAAAATCGATCAAAATTATCCGTAGAACTTCTCATTAAAATCCTTTTAAATGTTATACTGGGTAAACTATCCACATATGGATCACAACGAAAACTGGTAAGACTTTTTTTCTCGTCTTTTTTTCTAACAAATTAAAAAAGTGAATGTCATAGATGCATTCAAATTCCACAAAAGCCATACGAAGACTACTGCAATGATTACAGATCTGTAGAGTAAGTTTTCATTCGAAATTTTATCAACTGTTCGACTGACGTTATTTTATCAAATATAGAAGATACAATCCCTGCATATATCATCATTATTCTCAATCTCCTTGTAACCAGTGCGGAAGAACACACTTTCAACAAAGTACCGTTTGATTAAATCAATTTCAAATATCAAAGTAGTTAGAAAAAGTGATCATCCATTATTATACTTAGTTCTAGAATATTACATGCTTGTTTACCTGCTCGCCCAGGAAAAAAACTTTAAAAGTTCATTATCTCAATATCACTAAAAGTGGAGATACTGCTTTGTTAGTTAGGAGGGCAGTATAGTATTCAGCGAAATCAGGGCAAAAGCTGCACTCAGATGCAAAAAAAAACGCAACGGAGAAATTTTTGGTCAAATTTAAAGTGCTATATATTTTTTTAGCCCTATTTTCATGATTTTTTTAGCAAGCTGTATATAATTATATCAACTTCGATTCGTAAACTCAGCTTCTTATAAAATTTAGTATTTGGCATATTATACAGGGTTGATTGGGGGGTTGTCTTTTTCCCCTAATTTAAAACACCCTGTGCAATAATTGCGTCTGTAAATTTTCCTAAAATATAATTTTACGGTCAGAACCATAACTCCTGGGCATTTCGTTTTTTATTTATGTCAATACATGCTTTGGTCAATTTTTAAGAGCGAAATGAACTGATAACGATCAATTTGCAATTTTTTGACTATCATTACTTTTTCATGTAATTTTTTAATATGACGAGATGGTTTTGGTGACTATTGTCGTACCGTCATACTACACTGCATTGGATACTCTACACTAATTAAAAAAAAAACGTTAGACATTAACGTTGCAGCCCGGGTTTTAATAAACATTAATAACGATATCAGAACTAACGATATTAAAGAAAGCATCTGTAATGCTCAAGTATACAAACAGAAAAAAAATTGTAAAAAATACCCTCATACTTTGTATTGCCACCCTTGGCTGTTATAACTGCCTGTATACGTCCGTTCATACTATCATTGAGGCTGCATATATCATATTGCGTTATGTTTTCCCATTCTTCTTTAAGGACCAAGCGAAGTTCATTTAATGAAGCTGGTACTGCTTCGCGACTTCTAACCCACCTGCCAAGTATTTGCCAAACGTCCAACATGATGGGCAGCTCATCAGTACTCTATAGTTCACAATAATTACCAAAGCTCTCTTGTCACATTGAAAAATAACTTCAAAAAAGCAATGATAATAATTGAAAAAATTGCAAATTGTTGGTGGCAAGCTCATTTCGCTCGTAAAAATTAACTAAGGTATGTATTGACATGATCCAAAAAACAAAATGCTCAAGAGACGCAGTTCTGACCGTAGAATTATATTTTAGGAAAATTTACATACCAAGTTATTGCACAGGGTGTTTTAAAGTTTGGGTAAAAAGACAACCCCTCGATTAACCCTGTATAATATGCCAAATACTAAACTTTATAATAGAATAAAAGGTGATATAATTATATACAGCTTGTTCAAAAATTCATGAAAATATGGCTAAAAATAACAAAAATATAACACTTTAAATTTGACCAAAAATTTCTCCGTTGCGTTTTAATGCATCCAATTGTATTAACTATAATCAGGAAAAACATATATCAAATTTGTGCTTTTGACACAAAGACACTTCATCTGGTATAAACTAAACAAATATGGATTTACGGTATTTCTCTTGACGAAGTCAATAAATTTGATGAAATATTGAGAATTAAATATAAATGACATCTCTGCTACAATCAATGATTCATTTCAATATCTCTTCTTAGTCGGATTCATGAAATTTCCCGACTGTCAATCTCCACTCATCTCATCGTCAGCCATTCTTATTGATTGCGGTAGCATTTTTCCAGTAAGTGTTATTAGATCTGTGTATCTTGTTAGCGATCCTTGCAACATGCCCTCCAGCGCAACGTCAGTTTTTCAAACCCATCCCGTCCAGCTATGTGACCAAAAAACCCAGCAATGTTTTCTGTGACAATAGTGCGGAGCCTTTTCTTTATCTTGATGATCTGTTGAAGGATCGATAGATTAGTTCTTCTCTCAGTCCAAGAAGCCCTTAGCACACGACATCTCGAATGCACCTATTTTTTTCCTGTCCGATTGCTTTAGCGTTCAGCATTCGACTCCGTAGAGGAATACAGAAAACATCCAGAAATTCAAAATCGACAACTATGAAACTATGAACTCTTCCCGGACATAAACGGTACATTGTGAAATAGGAAATTGCAGAGAGAAACAAGCCCTATAACATAGGATACAACATTTTAATGAACAGTGCTTTCCATAAAATCAATAAAATGAAAAATATAGGAAATAATATAAATGTACTGATTCCTTTCGAAAATCGACAACTATGAAATTATGAACCCTTCCCGGACACACAAACGGTACATTGTGAGACAGGAAATTGTAGAGAGAAACAAGCCCTATAACATAGGATACAACATTTTAATGAACAGTGCTTTCCATAAAATCAATAAAATGAAAAATATACGAAATAATATAAATGTACTGATTTCTTTCGAAAATCGACAACTATGAATTTATGAACTCTTCCCGGGCACAAACGGTACATTGTGAAATAGGAAATTGCAGAGAGAAACAAGCCCTACATAAGATACAACATTTTAATGAACAGTTCTTTCCATAAAATCAATAAAATGAAAAATATACGAAATAATACTATATAATGTATTGATTTCTTTCGAAAATCGACAACTATGAAACTATGAACTTCTTCCCAGACACAAACGGTACATTGTGAAACAGGAAATTGCAGAGAGAAACAAGCCCTATAACATATGAAACAACATTTTAATGAACAGAGCCTTCCATAAAATAAATAAAATGAAAAATATACGAAATAATTAAATGTACTGGTTTCTTTCGAAAATCGACAACTATGAAACTATGAACCCTTCCCGGACGCATAAAGGTAAGTAACACATGCCAGCGCCATTCGGGACGCTCTTCGTATTTTTGAATGTAACACGCGGGCTGGCCAACAGGCTGGCGATATCAAGTGCCACTTTGTACTCATAAAATGCGCTGATTCATTACTCTTTGTAACTTTGCATATAGGTACCTAGCATTTTATTGTTTTGTGGGATTATTAATCATGGATTTATCGTGTTTACCAGATGGCTATTGTTACCTAGAAAAAAAAACAATTTGTTGCGTTGTAAGTTGAAGAATAAAAGGAAGTAGAATGTAAGTAGCATCAATAATAATAATTCATTATAATGTAACATTATATCTACTAATAGGGAAATTAAAAATCTAACCTCAAATCATACGTCTTATATGTGTGCCAACTAAACAACATAATATAATAATGCATTAATGTTGAGGTCAAAATTAACCTCAACATTTACTTAAATAAGTTCAGCTATTGCTGATTGACTCGTCAGGGCATGCCCTAATCACTTGATTATATTTAGAAGTAAAAATTATTGAAATTGGGGTCCCTTTATAGACATTTTACTTTGTCTACTGAACGGACATCTGATGTTTTACCATGGCGATGGCATGTGTTACTTACCTTTATGCTCCCGGACACAAACGGTACATTGTGAAACAGGAAATTGTAGAGAGAAACAAGCCCTATAACATAGGATACAACATTTTAATGAACAGCTCAACATGCTTTCCATAAAATCAATAAAATGAAAAATATACGAAATAATATAAATGTACTGATTTCTTTCGAAAATCGACAACTATGAAACTATGAACTCTTCCCGGACACAAACGATATATTGTAAAACAGGAAATTGTAGAGAGAAACAAGCCCTATAACATAGGATACAACATTTTAATGAACAGTGCTTTCCATAAAATCAATAAACTGAAAAATATACGAAATAATATAAATGTGCTGATTTCTTTCGAAAATCGACAACTATGAAACTATAAACTCTTCCTGGACACAAACGGTACATTGTGAAACAGGAAATTGTAGAAACAAACAAGCCCTATAACATAGGATACAACATTTTAATGAACAGTGCCTTTCATTAAATCAATAAAATGAAAAATATACGAAATAATTAAATATACTCGTTTCTTTCGAAAATCGACAACTATGAAAGTATGAACCCTTCCCGGACACAAACGGTACATTGCGAAACAGGAAATTGTAGAGAGAAACAAGCCCTATAACATAGGATACAACACTTTAATGAACAGTGCTTTCCATAAAATCAATAAAATGAAAAATATACGAAATAATATACATGTACTTATTTCTTTCGAAAATCGACAACTATGAAACTATGAACCCTTCCCGGACACATAAACGGTACATTGTGAGATAGGAAATTGTAGAGAAACAAGCCCTATAACATAGGATACAACATTTTAATGAACAATGCTTTCCATAAAATCAATAAAATGAAAAATATACGAAATAATATAAATGTACTGATTTCTTTCGAAAATCGACAACTATGAAACTATGAACTCTTCTCAGACACAAACGGTACATTGTGAAACAGGAAATTGTAGAGAGAAACAAGCCCTATAACATAGGATACAACATTTTAATGAACAAAGCCTTCCATAAAATCAATAAAATGAAAAATATACGAAATAATTAAATGTACTGATTTCTTTCGAGAATCGACAACTATGAATCACTATATGTACAGGGACATCATTTTAAGTGTCTCACTCGATTTATAATTTTCCTGTTTGGTATTTAAAGATAGTAGAAAGATTTCCTAATGTAATTTTTCGCGAGGATGCCGATTTTCTACATTAAAATTTTTTGCAACGTCAATTTTGACAGATACGACGCCATCTTGATTTTTTTTAAATGGAAACTCCCACATATTTTAGCATGGTCTGGTAGACATATTTTAGCTAATTTCAAAAATATATAGTTTAGTATACTTTGCACTTACCGTTTTCGATATACAGTGTATTTAAAAATGAATTGTTCCAGAATCATTCTAAGCGTCTCACCCAATTTAAACTTTTCCTCTTCTCTATTTTAAGATAGTAAAAAGATATTTCAATGTAAATTTTCGCGAGGATGCCGAATTTCTACATTAAAATTTTTTACAACGTCAATTTTGACAGATACGACGCCATCTTGATTTTTTTTAAATAGAAACTCTATCATATTTTAGCATGGTCCGGTAGACATATTTTAGCTAATTTCAAAAATATATAGTTTAGTATACTTTGCACTTACCGTTTTCGATATACAGTGTATTTAAAAATGAATTGTTCCAGAATAATTTTAAGTGTCTCACCCAATTTAAATTTTCCTCTTTTCGATTTTAAGATAATAAAAAGATATTTTAATGTAATTTTTCGCGAGGATGCCGATTTTCTACATTAAAATTTTTTACAACGTCAATTTTGACAGATACGACGCCATCTTGATTTTTTTAAATGGAAACCCCCACATATTTTAGCATGGTCCGGTAGACATATTTTAGCTAATTTCAAAAATATATAGTTTAGTATACTTTGCACTTACCGTTTTCGATATACAGTGTATTTAAAAATGAATTGTTCCAGAATCATTTTAAGTGTCTCACCCAATTTAAACTTTTCCTCTTCTCTATTTTAAGATAGTAAAAAGATATTTCAATGTAATTTTTAGCGAGGATGCCGATTTTCTACATTAAAATTTTTTACAACGTCAATTTTGACAGATACGACGCCATCTTAATTTTTTTAAATGGAAACCCCACATATTTTAGCATGGTCCGGTAGACATATTTTAGCTAATTTCAAAAATATATAGTTTAGTATACTTTGCACTTACCGTTTTCGATATACAGTGTATTTAAAAATGAATTGTTCCAGAATCATTTTAAGTGTCTCACCCAATTTAAACTTTTCCTCTTCTCTATTTTAAGATAGTAAAAAGATATTTCAATGTAATTTTTCGCGAGGATGCCGATTTTCTACATTAAAATTTTCTACAACGTCAATTTTGACAGATACGACGCCATCTTGATTTTTTTTAAATAGAAACCCTATCATATTTTAGCATGGTCCGGTAGACATATTTTAGCTAATTTCAAAAATATATAGTTTAGTATACTTTGCACTTACCGTTTTCGATATACAGTGCATTTAAAAATGAAATCTTTAGAATTATTTTGAGTGACTCATCCAGTTTACAATTTTCGAATTTTAAAATCCTTGAAAATGTCAAATTTGACAATTACGACGCTTAAATTTTTTTATTTATTTATACTTTGATTCTTCTTCAATATGACCTTTACATACAGGGAGTAGAAGTATCATTTTTATTTCGATATTTTCCAAATAATTTATGAAGTAACGTTAATACTTTGATGAAAATTGGTGTCTGGGAGATTTTTGATATGAGAAATTTGATTTTGATGTCAATATAAATCCAATTGCTAGGGGGCGCCACATACACGTGTTTTAACTGTTTTGAAGAGTAATAACTTTTCGTCCGTACTACTGAGTATACGTACTATAAAACTACTGAGTGAAAAAATATTCATTTATAACGATTTTTACGTAAAAAAGGTCTGTTGGTAAAAATTGTTACAAGTAATGGTTCTCGAGATATTGGGAATCGAAATTATCAATACCTGTCATCATTGACATATATTAAACATGTGGACTAAATAGTTACTAGTCTGAAATCATAAATTTGAAATGTTTTTTGCCAAAAGTTCAACAGAAACTGTTTTATCATCATTTTTCCGCAGAAAACTTTATAATTAATTTAAAAAAATAAAAATTTCCCACATTTATTATTTCAACCAAATATCTATCTACTCAACATGTTTATTTTTTTGTCAATAATGACATGTATTGACTATTTCCATTCGAAATATCTTGAGAAAGGCTGCTCGTAGCGATTTTTACCGAGAGATATTTTTTACGTTAAAAGTCAAGAAAATGTATATTTTTTTACTCAGTAGTTTTATACAGGTATGGGCAAAAAGTTATTAGTTTTCAAAACAGTTAAAACACATGTAGGTGGCGCCCCCTACAAATAAGAGTCATATTGACATCAAAATCAAGTTTCTCATGTCAAAAAACAGCCAGACACGAATTTTCAGCCAAATATTGACGTTACCTCAGAAATTAATTGGAAAAAATCGAAATAAAAATGAAACTTCTACGCCCTGTATCTCCGAAACTAAGTATTGTAGGACATATATTTATACGAACTTTTTTACTTATTTTTATCTGCAGAATATGCTGCCGAAGTTTCCGGAATACAGTTCGGATCACCCTGTATATAAAAAAATGAAAATTTAAACTGCTAGTCATTTATCATAAGATAGCTCAATTTACCTAAATTTCATGCATTTGGATACAAATGCCACTCAGTTGTAAGTGAATGGCATTCATATTCAAATACATAAAAATTAGAGGAATTCTTGATTTCAACCCCGTGTATATAGAAAACGGTAAATGCAAAGTATACTAAACTATATATATTTGAAATTAGCTAAAATTTGTCTACCGGGCGGTGTTAAAATTTGATATGGTTTCCATTTAAAAAAAATCAAGATGGCGTCGTATCTGTCAAAATTGACGTTGTAAAAAATTTTAATGTAGAAAATCGGCATCCTCGCGAAAAATTACATTAAAATATCTTTTTACTATCTTAAAATAGAAAAGAGGAAAATTTTAAATTGGGTGAGACACTTAAAATGATTCTGGAACAATTCATTTTTAAATCCACTGTATATCGAAAACGGTAAGAGCAAAGTATACTAAACTATATATTTTTGAAATTAGCTAAAATATGTCTACCGGACCATGCTAAAATATGTGGGGGTTTCCATTTAAAAAAATCAAGATGGCGTCGTATCTGTCAAAATTGACGTGTAAAAAATTTTAATGTAGAAAATCGGCATCCTCGCGAAAAATTACATTAAAATATCTTTTACTATCTTAAAATAGAAAAGAGGAAAATTTTAAATTGGGTGAGACACTTAAAATGATTCTGGAACAATTCATTTTAAATCCACTGTATATCGAAAACGGTAAGAGCAAAGTATACTAAACTATATATTTTTGAAATTAGCTAAAATATGTCTACCGGACCATGCTAAAATATGTGGGGTTTCCATTTAAAAAAATCAAGATGGCGTCGTATCTGTCAAAATTGACGTAAAAAATTTTAATGTAGAAAATCGGCATCCTCGCGAAAAATTACATTAAAATATCTTTTTACTAACTTAAAATAGAAAAGAGGAAAATTTTAAATTGGGTGAGACACTTAAAATGATTCTGGAACAATTCATTTTTAAATCCACTGTATATCGAAAACGGTAAGAGCAAAGTATACTAAACTATATATTTTTGAAATTAGCTAAAATATGTCTACCGGACCATGCCAAAATATGTGGGGGTTTATATTTAAAAAAAATCAAGATGGCGTCGTATCTGTCAAAATTGACGTTGTAAAAAATTTTAATGTAGAAAATCGGCATCCTCGCGAAAAATTACATTAAAATATCTTTTTACTATCTTAAAATAGAAAAGAGGAAAATTTTAAATTGGGTGAGACACTTAAAATGATTCTGGAACAATTCATTTTTAAATCCACTGTATATCGAAAACGGTAAGATCAAAGTATACTAAACTATATATTTTTGAAATTAGCTAAAATATGTCTACCGGACCATGCTAAAACATGTGGGGGTTTCCATTTAAAAAAAATCAAGATGGCGTCGTATCTGTCAAAATTGACGTGGTAAAAAATTTTAATGTAGAAAATCGGCATCCTCGCGAAAAATTACATTAAAATATCTTTTTACTATCTTAAAATAGAAAAGAGGAAAATTTTAAATTGGGTGAGACACTTAAAATGATTCTGGAACAATTCATTTTTAAATACACTGTATATCGAAAACGGTAAGAGCAAAGTATACTAAACTATATATTTTTGAAATTAGCTAAAATATGTCTACCGGACCATGCTAAAATATGTGGGGGTTTCCATTTAAAAAAAATCAAGATGGCGTCGTATCTGTCAAAATTGACGTTTTAAAAAATTTTGGTGTAGAGAATCGGCATCCTCGCGAAAAATTACAATAGAAAATCTTTCTACTATCTTTAAATACCAAACAGGAAAATTATAAATCGAGTGAGACACTTAAAATGATGTCCCTGTACACATTTCCTTCGGTCATGTTTCTACTAAACACACTTGGCGGTTTAACATTAAACGAACCAACGATTTGCGCACTACATTTGAATTAATAAAAATGCAACCTAGTGATTAGTCTCACCCCCGGAGATCAATTTCACCCCAAACGACGGTACTTGTTAATTTATTCTTTAAAAAGCAGGTTTTGGCAGATCCAGCCAATTCACTCCACGTCAGAGCATGGCACCCAAAAAATCTATTATATCATCAAGGAAAAGTGCCTGGGACTATGGTAATCATAAATCAATAACATTTTTCATTTCGTTTCCATATTTGATTTCAAATTTTAGAATTTGAACCTAGCAAAAGAAGCTTTGGTCTCCAAACTTGCACAGATACTGGCGTAGGAGGTAAGGAAATAATGACTATTATCACTATTTTATAATTATTGTCATATTTCGGTGAGAATGAATACTTCAACCAAATGTTATTATGAACTGAAAGTACTGCTGTTGTTTTACTATATAAATAAGAATTATTATTCATTTTATTTAAAGAAGTTTGAATAACTTAGTTTACGATAATATTTGAAATTAATAACTAAAAAAATAGGGAAGTATAGTACTTGTATAAGTAATATAACTACTAACTATTAATACAACTTTTATGTTGTAAAGATTGTTTATACAACAGAATAGATCCTAATTCACTGAATCTGAATTAGGTTCAATTCTGTTGTATCTGTTGTCGTACCATCTTATTTTTATTTAATACAAAATACCAATTTTGACTGATTCGACTGATAGTGTTCCGCCATATTGGGACAAATTACATGAGAAGAACTATATCTGGAACACCTACACGTGATTTTACTTTAAACTGATCAATTTCGATTACAGCAGTTAAACCAAGCTTTAAATTGTTATCTTAACATAATTGGCATTTCCAGTTAATGCCTAACATAACCTAACCTTTAATTTTTAGACTGCCCTGCTTGCCTCAGTGCCAAGAACAGCTGTCACATGGGTAAATATTTTCTAAAATTTAGTTTTACTAAAATTCCTACTTACTAATAATATTTTTGGTTTATTAAAATTAATATGTTATAGAAAAATAATTCTCAACCGAGGGGTAAACAGCTGACCCAAATTCTGTACACTAAACCTCCTAATAGCTAAAGAATTCCTGAATACCTCCTGGTAAGTCCTAAATACCTCCTGGGAAATCCCATATATATTTTTGGGGATTCCTGATACTATCGAGCATACGAAATTTGTAATTAGTTTCAAACTTTACAGAAAGTTGAAAAAAGTATCCAAAATCGACTCGATAAAAAAGAGTTTGGTTTGGTTTGGTTTGCTCATTAGTTTGGTCGATTCCTATTCTTATATCATCTATCTCTTCCTCTTAATTTTCAAAAATACTTTCTTCAGCTATTTGCGTATCATCAATGACAGATTCATTTTCATCACTTACTGCAGATGGTTCTTCTGAATTTTTTGGTATAGTAGTCGAGTTCCATGAAAAATTTTCAACTTGCATTCCCAGCTTTTCAGTTACAACAAGTGCTTCCTGCAAAGAGCCCATCACAATATTCTCAATGTATTGATCAGTAAATACATTTTCAATATCTTTCACCTCATTATTTGCACTCTGCGCTCCAATTTGTGCATCGTTTTGGCCCTTAGAACGAACTCTTTCAAATCTTTTCTGCTCTCTTGGGAAACCTATTATAACTCATAAATCATGGGTAATATTATTAATCGATCTAATTCTGTCCAATCGTTGCAGTATGTCTTTAATACTATAATTTACTACCGTAGATTGCCTTGTTGTCATGGACCTAGTGGCTCGGAATATTTTCTCACAGCTTTGACTGCTAAAAAGCAAAGGAAGGAACATATTCTCTGTGAGGTTTGTATTTTCCCGAAAATGTACAATTAAATTAATCAGAGCATGAGCGTTCAAATTTATCATTTACGTCAAATACGTAAAAAAACACACAATACCATAAATTATATAACCTTCTTTTTAAATCCAAATTTTCTTCCAAATAAGAACATATAACTAAGTTCATCATTCTTAAATTTAGTGTTATTTTATTTATTCCTTGGTTCCTGCACCCTCAGCAACAGTATTAAAAAGTTCAGTTCAAGGACTTCAATGGAACATATTTTTTGAGCTGCCTTAAAATTCATTTTATCTTCCAATTTTAAATCAGTCCTAGTCCGTAGCAGTTCAGTCGAGAGTTCAGTGTTATTCTGTTTTCAGATAATAAGCTTCTTAATTTATGTGTTTTTGTATAAAAAAACCAATACACCGAGCAAAACATCAAACATTGTAATCCTCGCCAATGCCGGGTCCCATGGGCCCCCCCTCTGTATCCGCCACTGCAACTGACTAACCCAAGCTGTTGCTAGGATATTCTATTAATTTTAATTTTGTTTTTAAACATTGTGAATGATCGTAAACTAAAAAGTATAAAGTGTAATTGAAACCACTAATTTATTCCACTAATTGCGAGGTTCTGAAGCTGTAAGTGTTTTAATGAATGAAGCTGTAAGTGTTTTAATTCAAATTTATTTGTTATGCACTGAGCCTATTGTGTGATTTTAATCAAAACGAGGTCAATATCCGTGATTTGATGCGTATTTTTTCGAGCTATCTCGTCCTAGATCTCCTTCAGACCTCCTGGAATTCCATCATAAATCCGGGGAAATCCTGTATACTTCCTGGGAAATCCTGTATACCTCCTGGGAAATCCACATACTTTTTAGGAAATCTTATATACTTCCTGGTACTTCCTAGGAATTCCCACGTACTTCCTTTCGAATGTACACCTACCTCCTGCAGCTGTTCACCCCTCGTTTTCAACTTAAAGGCGGACTCTGACGACTCGTTTACTTGGCAAGTATTTTTAATTGTTGTAGTGCTGTACATATACCGGGTGCGTCTCAAAAGTGGCTCACCCATATAACTTTTGTATTTTTTTATTTAAAAAAACGAGATTTGGTATGTTAGTATACGACATAAATTAAGATTGATTGACGTATTCAATTGTTTTGGGCCACTTCCTGTTTCCCGGAAATGACTACAACTTTTGATTTTTAAATGGCACCCTCGGTATTTTTTTTACTTTATTCGATAGCAAATAACACTCCGGATAGAATGACATATCATATGTCAACATTTTCGCATATGGTTTATTTGAAATTATAACTTGCGGTTCGTAACGAAAATTTGACTCGAAATACCAAGTGTGTGGTATCAAATTATTCGTAAAAAATGCTTTTTCCAAATAGGCTAATGAGCCATCCTCGTTCCATTTGAAAAAGTTGAGGTATGATTAAAAATACGATTCCAGCATTTTCTAACTGGCCAGAGCAAACACTAAAGACACACAAAACGATCAAATCTATTTTTCCAAGGCTCCATGATTAAGAATTAGTGATTTTAACATAGCCATGGCACTCTAAATTGAATTTTAAAATACGATTTTTTACTAAGCGAAAATGTCAAAAGTTGACATATGATATGTCATTCTATTCAGAATGTCATTTTCTATCGAATAAAGTAAAAAAATACCGAGGGTGCCATTTAAAAATCAAAAGTTGTAATCATTTCCGGTGAAACAGGAAGTGACCAAAAACAATTGAATACGTCAATCAATCTTAATTTATGTGATATACTAACATACCAAATCTCGTTTTTTTTTATCTGAAAAAATAAAAAACCTATAGGGGTGAGCCACTTTTGAGACGCACCCGGTATATTAGGTACTGCGTATACCAGTGGCGGCTCGTGGTCATTATTGTAGGAAGGTCAATATCAAAAAATATTGCATTGATTTTTTTAAGACACGCCCTCGGACGCGTCCAAATTTAACTAGTTTCTTACAAGGTACTGGTACGTTTAGTTAAAGAAAAGTAAATCTAAAAATAAATATAAATTCTGTTAAAATGAAACCTACCCTTACATTTTTAAACAGATGGTCTAGTGCCATTTCACTAAAAATCCAGTCAATGTTCTTTACACAAATTTTCCACGGTAGGATTTAAAATACACGTAAATAATAATGTCACAAAAATATCAATGCATATATTAAGGGCTGGCAAAGGTTAGTCTTGGGTCGAGATTTCCGTATGTAAGAAGAGTACAATGCGTTTATAATGTACTGAACAAAGAGAGGACAGTAAACACGTTGCCAAACGTATGAAATAAACCGAGAAACTGTGCATATCGCTAAGAGACGTGGAAGGGGATATAACAGAGTTGTCGCAGTTGACCGGTTGACCCAATCAATACCTCTGTCTAGCACTACTTAAAGTTCTAGGGAAAGGTGTACGTCATGCGTTCAGCTTCACGATTTAATTACGTCTCATGATACTTGATTTGTTTATTTATTAACGAGTCGTAATTTTCCCTATAGCTTGAATTTTTTTAAGTGCAAGCTAGAAACACTTGCATTTTTAGTAAAAATAAGTGGAATTGTTCGATAGTGGTCGCGCTATTAGAACTCTGAATTCAAAAATCGATATCTCGAAATCTATTAGAAATAATAGATTGTAGTTTTTTCAAGAACTTTGTTAATATTTCTGCTGTATTTTCTTTGTAGACAGTATGTGAAAATCTTTATCAATAAAAAAATTACACGATTGCTGAAAATTGCTATGTTCTAAAAGTAAATGGATGGATTGTTTACAATTTTTGAATGGAAAAAACAACCTTATCGAATTTTTCTTATGTAAACATATTGTAAAATATCCTATCTTGAAAATAAAAAAAAGTTTCAATATCTAAAGTGGTTCTTGAGTTATGGCCTGTTATGTGTTAAAAAGTTGAGTGTTTAAATTATCGCGATTATACTGACGTTTTCTCGTTATAAAAAAATGACACCCTAACGATATCCTTATAATTCCATTTCAGATGCTCAGAAACATTACAAACTTAATGATTTTATCTAGTTATCTCTTGAAAAAAAAGTCTTTTAAAAATAAGCGGTTTGCGATCGTGATTTTACTTTACTTGATAGGGAAAGGCGTATCGGCAACGCCGCAACAGCACATCGTCGCGCCTCGTATCGGTCGGTCGCATTTCTCTCACTCCGACTTAATAAGATCCCTATGCGATTTACTTCCACACATGTAAATGCCGACCCAAAAGTAACAGTTGCCGGCACGGTATACACATACACAATTCTAAAAGTTTTATTTCACATTTTTTTATATTTTAAGTCAATGCGGCGTTCTTTTTCTTAACGTTTTTCGAAATTTAAGCAATTGTTTTCTTTTAACCGCACGATTTCACAAACTAAACACCATGTTGTCTATTTTAAGTATCTATTCCAGAATCAGTCAACCACAGTTCATCATTTATCCATAACCAGAAAATTATGAATAAAAAATACACGAAATAATTACCTACACTAATTTCGTGCTACACCCCAAACTAGATGGGATTTCTTTCGATATTAAACATTTAAATATTGCTTTCTATTGACTAAACCAAACATTATACGATAAACGATACAAAAACCTAGGTTGTTTTATAATTTGGGTCTTTATAAACACCCAAACTGCCCAAAAAAGCGACATTTTTCCAACGACTGAAATCCGTTTATGAATGATGCGTTCAATGGCCAATATAAACACTTGTGTTTAGCCCCAGCAGGCAACTATTAAGCACGACCAATCACGTTAGAGTTTTTGACCAAACACAAATGAATTAACACCCTACAAAAAACCCCGCTAACCAACCTGATTGGTCAAGCTTAATAGTTGCCTGCTGAGAAACTAGACACTTCTAATATAAACTATATCTATTGCACCTTAACCCGTTATATTTTCGTAGTATACCTTACCTTGTTGGCGTTACGAGTCGCGGCATTTGGAGTTTATATACGTGCAAAACATAGCGGGAGCGAAGGACAAAATGAAATTTTGACCGGCAGTAGAGAAAATGGGTAAAATAAAACCGTTTGAAGCGAAAATTGGAGAAATTGATGGTTTTTAGGAATAGTTTAGAATATCTTAGGATGAAAAAAAAGTTACTTATAAAAAGGATAATTTAAATAGGTTTTTCATAATTTTCTTCTGATCTTTTTTTTTGGGGTGGGGGGCATTGACCCTTTGACCTTATGGTTAAGCCGCCACTGGTGTATACCCTGTATACCAATTACAAATGTTTTTCAAGTACACGAGTCGTGAGAATACGCCTTAAGAAAGAAAAATATATCTTCGAACAAAATGCAGAAAGTAAATTCGGAGATTTAAAAACTTAGATAGTTAAAACTTATACTATATGATTCTAAACTGTTCTTGTCCACATTAGACACTTGCACGTTATGTTGCGAACCGAAATATTGCGGGCCGAAGGGTAAACAATGCCCCTTCGCGAAAGGTACCGAAGTACAAACTGAACCAATATGCATGTACGACTGTTTGACATGCGACTGTTCGGACGAGTTCGGATTAGCCGGCTGCGTCTTTACAGGACCCTGCGATCTTACAGGAGTGGAATGCAGGTAAAAAAACTATACCTATGGCCGAAATAATTGTATATTTTTGTTTTAAAGTATATCGTATATCCAGATGTAGAAAGGGTCTAAAATACCTTATCATCGTTTAACCTAAAATAAAGATGCGTCCACATTGCTCATGATCCTGCTCGCCCTCTTGCTTCTGATTGTGCTTGCGTTGCTTGCGCTTCCTGTTTGTCGTGTTTCTCAAAATCTTTCGGGTCGCAAACAACGGCATCCACATCGTAATGTAGTGCTTGCGTTCGTACTGTTCGGACATGGATTATACCGAAGTATTTTTAATAGCGGCTGCTATAGTGCGATCATCATTGCAAAACGAAGGAGACAAAAAGAAAAAAAGGCGCTGTTGGATGTCTAATAATTTCTAAAGTAGATCCCAGCACAGTGAAAATAAACTTCTACGCGATTTACAAACAGAGAATGTTTTTTAATAATTTTTATCGCATGTCCGCTACTGATTTTGAAAGACTTATTAATTTAGTTGGCTCCCGTATAGAAAGAACAATTCAACTTTTAGGAAGTATATTCCGGTTAAAGAAAGAGCTAAAGAAAGATTGGCAATAAGATTAAGATTCCTTGCAACTGGAGACTCACATACCAGTTTAGGTTATTTATTTAAAGTTTCCAAGCAAACCATTTTAAAAATAGTACTAGGCGTATATGCCACAATATAAATAAAGTTCTCAAAGATCAGATTAAGATAAGTAGACAATATAAATATAGAGTTATATTTTTATTAAAGGTATATTTAATATCATTAATCCGAGCATTAATCCAAGAACAAAACACAAATATGTGTAATTCTGAGCAAAAAAAAATAAGAAAAATCTCATGGTAGTATCATCATACTGCAGTAAATACCGAATCCTATAAATGAAGCCAAACTAAAAACTAAATAAACAATGCAAACAGCTCGAGCAGTTCGAACCAAGCACCGCGAGCGGAGCGCCGCGAACATTTTGCTCCGACTGTTTGCCATGTTTTTCGCGTTTCATATGTTCATTCAGCCTGCTCGCGATCAATGTGGACGCAGCTTAATAAAAGGGCGTCCAGACCAGATGAGCGAGCAGTAACGAGCGCGAGCAAACATTTATTCAAATTCGCTCGTGATTTCTGCTGCTCTCGAGCACATGATCAACTTCCGTCCAGACTTAGCGATTATTTGTATGTTCGGCGTTGAGCGGTGTGTGGCACTTCACACTTCATGTTCATAATGTCGGAAAAAACTATTGCTTGTGTGTCTTTCATTGTATTTTATAAATTGTTGAAACGTCAAAAGAGAAAACGACTGCAGAGGAGATGGTGGAACATAACTCTTTTTAAAAATCGAGTTTCTCATGGTGGTAACAATTTACTAAACGATGTTGAAACAGAAGATTCTGGAAAATTTAAAAACTTTTGTCGGATGTCACTTACAGATTTTAATACCTTATTAGATTTACTTGACATAAAAATAATGAAAAGTGATACCAATTACCGAAAAGCAATTTCATCTAGAGAAAGGCTAGCTATAACCTTACGGGTCTTGGTGATTTTTGTACTCCTCTATTAGTTCTAAAACAACTTCATTCGGCCATTCCATTTTTGATATTCAATCGCAAATGTGGTAAACAAAATCCCGTCCAAACCGAACGTGCAATAGCGTGAATTTTCTTTGATGTACCGACACGGCGTGGAACAGCGTCGGGCGCGACCAAGCAATCATTCGCTCGCTCGCAGAGCCGTCCACACCAGTTAAGCGTTCGCATAGAACATACCCGAATTCTTGCTCGCACCTGTTCGCTCATCCGGTCTGGACGCCCCTTAAGAGTGCTCTAAGAATTCAAACACACTCTCACCACCAGCCAAAGCGGCAACGGCCAGAATGGTATTGCGCGTTGTATCATTTGATTTAATGGTATTACAGGTCTTGTAATACTGTGTGTGTTACTTGGTGAAACCAAACTTTCTAATACATTCGAAAACATTTCTCAGGACTTACGACCGAGAAAAAAGATTTTCCTCGATTTATTTAAGAGCGTCGATTTATTTAAGAGTCTCCTTAATGAACACCTCAGTAGACTGAAGAAATGGCGAATAAATATTCTGTAGGGAAAATGGGAAACACCAGAACACTTCATCACTGTGTGCGCCGAGATGACAACCATTCGTGCAAGAAACATTGGGACGACTGATATCGGAGATGGGGAACTAACCTTTGTAAAACCGTCTCAGACACTGACTTTGTCAAAGCTAGGGATAGTCTTAGGGACTGTATAATGAGTTTTTAACTCAAGAAAAGGGTACACAATAGATCATAAGGTCGCGGTGATTAACTTACTCCCTCCCATGCAATCTACAATCTACAATGTGTAGAGGGTAGAGCAGACAGAGTAGAGCTAGACTGAGAGCTATAATAAACGTCAAAACACACGCCGAATTGTAGAGCTAAACGATGGTGATGACAATAACTATGCTACCTATTTGTATAGCAATATACCGCATGATCGAAAAAAAAAACGGCGACAGCGATGGCTTTGAAATGAAGATCGCTGTCATTTTATATGTAAATTTATATAGGAAATGTCAGCAACCGTCATTTCCCAGCTAACTGGACGCCGTTTTTTTTTCGATCATACGATATTTAAACATATAAATAGAATTATATTACTGCAGAATCAATATCAAAATATTACTATACGCAATAATTTTGGCCATGTGTCTATTCGGATAATAATAAGAGAACAATCAATCTAGCTTAATTCTAATAAATTTTAGCCTCCTGTTAATACAACCATTTAAGACAGGTTCTATATTTTTAATACTCACAATTTCTGATTAACTCGATTCACTTTTACATAAATGAAAGTAGTAATATACACTAATATATAATTCAACTTGTCATTATAAACTACTTAAACAAAAATTGTGTGTTGTAGATGCCTGGATAAGAGTTGTTCCACTACCGGACATTGTTTGCTCGAAGACGATGATGAATTATGGAGAGGAGCCCCAAAATGTTAGTATACATTTTTCAATATATACTTATTGTTTATATTTCATAATATATGGCTAGGTGTTATAAGTTTGCATCATGCAAGATTACAAATAATTCAAACAGTCAAAATTGGTATTTCTTTCATTAAATATAAATGAAATAAACATAGAAAAATTGGCATAGAAATTATATATTTCAGTGATAATTAAAAAAGTGAGAAATGAGATGTTCTAAGTTTACTATGGCATTCCTTGGACTTTTCGGCAATGATAATTATTACTGAAATATTATACCGGGTGCGTATCAAAAGTGGATATCACTTGTATAACTTTTTTATTTTTTTCAGATTAAAAAACGAGATATGGTATGTTAGTACTATATGACATAAATTAGGATTGATTGACGTATTCAATTAATTGTTTTCAGACACTTCCTGTTTCACCGGAAATTACTACAACTTTTGAATTTTAAATGACACCCCCGGTATTTTTTTACATTATTTAATAGAAAATGTCACTTTGAATAGAATGACATATAGTATGTCAACTTTTGACATTCTCGCTTAAAAAAATCGTATTTTAAATTTCAATCTAGAGTGCCATGGCTGTGTTATAAACACGAATTTTTAATCAAGGAACTTTGGAAAAAGAGGTTTGATCGTCTAATGTTTTTCCGGTTAAAAGATGCTCAAATCGTATTTTTAATCATATCTCAATTTTTTCAAATGGAACGAGAGTGGCTCATTAAAATATTTGGAAAAAGCATTCTTTACGAATATTTTGATACCACACACTTGGTATTTCGAGTCAAATTGCCGTTATGAACCGCATGTTACAATTTCAAATAAACCATTTGCGAAAATGTTAAAAGCTGACATATGATACGTCATTCTACTCAGAATGTCATTTTCTACCGAATAAAGTAGAAATATACCGAGGGTGCCATTTAAAAATCAAAAGTTGTAGTAATTTCCGGTGAAATAGGAACTGACCGAAAACAATTATTGAATACGTCCATCATTCCTAGTTTATGTCATATACTAACAAACCAAATCTCGTTTTTTATCTGAAAAAAATATAAATGTTATGGGGATGAGCCACCTTTGAGACGCACCCGGTATATATTCCATTTCACACGTCTTGGTCAATCCATCTTACAGGACGATCTAAGCAGTGGTATAGTTCTTCTCCTGTTTCCCAACATGACGGAATACTATCAAAAGAGTTGACATTGGTAGTTCTTAGTAAAAATGAGATGGTACGGATATAAAAAAAAAGAAAAACTTAACTCAAATTAATTAGGTTATCTATTTTCCGATTTCAAAGGTATCTCTTACAACATATTAACTAATCTAAGTTCTGCCCAGCGATAGAATGGTCTGTTTCTACAAACGACAGCCAAACAGGACAAAAAATATTTATTTTTGAATAAAAACAACAGACTTTATTTAAAAAATAAATATTAGGTATTGTAAATAGATACCCGTAATGGAAATGTTCACCACAGAATATATTTATGTGTGCCTACTATCTAGACTTTTTTTGTATGAGCCAAAGTGTTACCGTATACCATGTCCAAACATCAAAAGAAATAAAATATATTCGCTAGAACCCTGATTCGTGCCTACTATAGTACTGCTTAGATTTTGTTTTATTATAAGTAGATACTATCTTATATAATGTAAAATGACAAAACAAAAACGTTTTATATCTGTGTATACGAATGGTTTTAAAAGAACAGATTAATTTATGATAAACGAAGTTTAGACATAATATTCTATAAGTTATCAGAGTTTCATACATCCCTAATCGATGACATCTTTTTTAGGCCAGGGAACTGATCCATATCAAGAGGATTACGCTGATATTGATATAACAATTAGCCAACAGGATGCCTTTTATGTAAGTAACATTTAAATAAATGTCAATTTAAATACCATATAGGCCAGTAAGCGAGGATAGAAAAATGGGGTATTACCTCTGAATTCTTGACACCCGCACCGATTGACCGTTTAGTTATTCCAAAAGCTTCATTTTTGCTTTACATGAGTTTTGCGATAAAACGCAAGATTTTCGAGTTGTTCATAAAAAATGGCAGAAAAATATGCAGTTTTTAGACGAAAAATCAACATTTTCAATCACACGCAATTATACTTTCAATTAGGTATAGGAACATGATGTATCGTTGAAAAGCAATTTTATTTGGCTTTCGATTTTTTAAATAATATATATACATAGGCGTGCATTTAAAATAACAATAATTTGAACAATTTTATAACAAACGAAAATCATGATTTTTTTCTGATCTCCCTGCTTATCCAATTAGCTGATTTAGACAGATCGAATACGTCGACTTTCCTTAACCTATAAACCAAATTTCAGCTTTCAAAATTAGGTCAGTCGCCAAGTATTAAAAAATAGCTTATGGCGGGAGCAAATCCGGACAAGCTAGAATAAATTTTATTTTGTTTAGTTTAGTGTAAGAAACCACGTGTTAAATTTGCACCACCCCCAAAGCCCGGATTTGGCAGCCATCTTGGAAAAAGTGGCTAAAATTCGGTTTATTTTTCATTATTTGTCAATAACTCGATTTCTATCAACTTTACTGCAAAAAATGTACAGACTAAAATTAAAGAAGAGAAAAAAACTCTATAAAAAACATTCTATGTACTTTTTCCGTGCGACGACCCGTTTGCAAGTTATCTCGGTTTAAACACGCTAAATATATTATAAGCAGTTATTATTTCCTCTATTCTAGGCAGTTTTTGTCTTTCCGAGAACCTTACTCTTTTTATTTCTCCACGCATTTAGTGGCTGCGACACCACATCATTATACAGACAAGAAAAAATGAAATTCGATAAAGTTTTACAGAAAGAAAAAGAATTATTACAGACAGCTGCACAAACTTTCAAAGTACTCAAACGCATCCCCAGAAGGTATAGAAAAAGTTGGAGAACGATTTCTTCTACATCTATATGGATCCAAATGCGACTCATTAGATAAGTACAGATACCAGTGTTTCGTAAAATCTATTACCAAAAGCTTACCAAACATACCATCATTACCACCGACCAAACACGCAGCTCGCTTGCACTCCTTCCGTACGTACAGCTATGGTATGGGAATGAAAAATCACCTCTGGATTGGGGATGGAAAAATTCAAAGAATGCGTTGATGCCCATTGCTACTTCCCAAGATGCAGCTCCCCAAGAATTATTAAATCTGATTTCATGTAAATGTGCCAAAGGTCATATATTCATGTTGTAGTTGCCGCAAAGCAGGTTTGCGTTGCTCGGTAATGTGTGCACTTTGTCAGGGCAAATCATGTTCGAATAGTTTGGAGGTGGCAAAATTAGACGAAGATGAGTACGAGCACAATTTTCCTCTCGATAAAGATCAACGAAAAGAATATTCTGCACTTTATGAACCAGATCCGGAATATGATACAGATGTGGAAGACATTCAGAAAAATTATATTGAACAGCCAACAACATAAAAAAAACAAAGGAACTCTGATGAATCTTCCACCTCAAAAGAAACCTAAGCTGACGACATGTGGATTAGGCCTATTGGAAATGGGGAGACCACTCAAAAAAAAACGCGCCGGGTACCTACTTTACCTCAGCAGGGCAGCTCCCTGAGAAATAAGGCAGTTAAACTTGATTTTCCACCAGTCGCGCAACAATAAAAAATTAGTCCGTTATTGCGGTCATAATGCAAATTGCGTTCTTCCATTATGACCGCGACAGCAGGCTACTGCCAACCAGTAGCAAACAAGTTTTTAGGCTTTATGTATCGGGGGTGCCGCTCAAGGTGGTGTGGAAACAAGTACAGTTAACCCCGTATATATTGAACACGTACATTATATGAAACTTTAATTATGTTTTCGTAAAATTCGATACTTTGGGTAGTCGCACGAAAAAAAACCATACAACGTTTTTTATAGAGTTTTTCCTCTTCTTTAGTTTTGGTCTCTACATATTTTGCACTAAAGTTGATAGAAATCGAGTTATTGACAAATAATGAAAAATAAACCGAATTTGAGCCAATTTTTCCAAGATGGCGTCAACAAAATGAACAATATAAAACTTATTCCAGCTTGTCCGGATTTGCTCCCGCCATCGATGCACTTGCCAACTGGCCTAAATGCCGAAGTTATGATTTAACCAATGCTTATTCAAGATCTTGTTTTCGTCAATTTTACACATGTTTTATTTTTTATCTCGAAAACTATTCGAGATTTGCGTAGAGGTTAATATAATAAAAAAAATTGAGATAAAGAAGTATAGTTTCGAAAAATATAATAATATACCGGGTGTCCCATTTAAAATAACAAGATACTACCGCTTTTAGTATGAAGCGCAGTGCAATACTCAAAATAATTTAGACAGATGGAGCAGGTGCCTTTTTACAAAAATCCAAATGTTGAAAAAATCTTATCACCGGTTCTCCATAAACGTCTAACGTGGCATGGCCGTGAATCACCCTGTATACAGATATTATGATTAATACGTCTTATAATTTCTAACATTTTAGGGCAACAACAACCCCTCTACTACATATACATTCGAATCTGCAGGGACGGATCCAAACAGAGGATGTAGCATGATGGCACCAGGGATGGCATCAGGTTTGGATGCTGACGATATAATTAGGAAGTGTCACGCTTTATGTCAAACCACACGAGATCAAGGTATCCGTTAAAAATAAACAGCAATTCTTCCCAAATATTTTAATAATAAATATAAAAAAATAAAGGCTACTAAACTATCCTATTTGAAAATAAAATACTAATTATAAGATAATTCCTGTATTTTTTTAACTACGAAATATAGCTATATAACATTTAAATTTTAATATAAGATTTTAAAGAGTGAATAATCTAATTACGTTAACATCTTTGAATAAGAAGACTAAGGAAGGAGCATAATGCTATCCATGTATTCATGCATGGTGGGCGGAAAAGCCACCATAAAAGCTCTCTAGGGTGGGGATCCTTGACAGTTCTGTTTGACGATTCATTTGACACATTTAAATTTGATTTGAAATTTTGTGGATTTGTCAGTCTTTACGGAGCTTATTTTATGTTATTTATTATTTATTCTACTACTGATAGTTGTATAAAGGTAGTAAATCTAGATGGAAATTGTGGCAGAACTTAAATTAACAGTGACACTATCGCGATTTATCGAAAAAGACTCTAAAATAGTTGGTTGTGTAACGTGCGGTAGATCTCGGCAAAAATTGAGTGAAATAATGGAACAACTTTTCGCTAGTAAGTGACTATATAATATACATACGTGTAGTAAACCGATCATTTATGAAATTCACTTAAATTAACTAAATTATATATTTTCTTGCATTTTAGCTTTTATTTATTACTTGTCAAAGATTAGATGTCAAAGAATTTAGATACGTTAATTTGACTTACCTGCTTCAGTAGCGTATCGGATGTTTGTGTTAATAAATACTTATTATAACTTATCTATTTTTATTAGAATTATATATTTTTATAACAATTTTAATAACTACCAACATTTATTCACAACGTAAAATAAAACAACAAATTATTGAGTCTACCCCACGTCTACCCTACATCATAGTTTTACATTTTTTAAATAAAATTAGAACGACACTGATAAACCGGAATTTAAGTCGGCCATATTTGAGGCCCATCGCGGTGTACCTAAGATTTTTGATATGCTCCTTCCTTAGTCTTCTTATTCAAAGGTTAACATCAATGAATAAAAAGGCTATGAAAAAAGAATGTCAACAAAATTGACAAGATTTATTTTTTTTTACATGTTATAATGTCACTCCTCATATACATATACAGGGTCGCTTTTATGTATGAAAACGGTCGATTGTTAGGTAAAATATAGGAGGTACCGCAAAAAGTTAAATACAAAAGTTATAGGATTTTTAAATATCTATTAGCGAGTAATAAATTTAGAAATACAGGGTCGTTCATAAAGTCGTGGCACGTCAACGTTTCATTTTTTAGATAGAACCCCCTGTATATTATTACATATTTCAATTCTTCCTTCAATTCTAAGCAAAAATCGAAATACACACTATATACCTCAAACCAACCGTTTCCGAGTTATTGACTTTTGAAAATATCACTTAAACAATTCGAATTAATTAATTTCGATGTTTTTAGTTTGATTTAATGATGCCATTCTGCCGAAACTGTGATACTGTTTTAATAGGTTTTTAAACTGCTATTAGCTACTAAGGCTGCTAGTAAATTTAAGTATACAGGGTCGGTCATAAATTTGTGTCACATCCAGCTTTTTTTTTAAATGAAATTCCCTGTATATTATTGCATATTTCAATTCTTCCTTCAATTTTAAGCAATAATCGTAATACACAATGTACAGGGTGGTCGAAATTGGTCTGTTTTAACAGAGAAAACCTATTTCCTGACTAGATAGAGTAAAACCGACATAGATGTCATGGGCTCGATTTCTGACACACGTTTAATGGCGTAAACCGCCTGTTGATATTTTCACTGCCAACTGAGATACAGGGTCTTTTTGATTTTTTTACCATTTTGAAAATTGCCCATAACTTTTATATTTCGCGAAATAATAAAATTCCGTAAAAACGTTATTAAGGCACTTTTTTAAGCACAATCCAGTGGCGTAGTAAGATTTTTTCTATGCTTGCTCTTTTTGTCAGAAATAATAAAAATATAATTTTTTAAATGTTAATCACAGTTAGCTATGAACTTATAAAGTTATGTGTATTTATTTCTAAAAATAAGAGAAATATTAGGTTTTTTATATTTTTATCGAAGCAAGCTTTGATTTTGTGTTGACCTAGTTGCTTAATTATTTTTTATTACAATTTAATATTGTATATTATTATTTATCTGCATAATTAAAGACTTTTGAAAAGGTAAATCTACATGCTATATTAGTATTACAAATTACAATTAAAATGCCAGGGTTACAACTGAACTATTAAATTAAGAGAGATTTGGATTGAAAAAAGGGGCCCCATATCTTAGCCTGCTTGGTCCTGTGATTTAACTCCTTTCGACATTTTTATGGGGGAAATTAAGAGACCTTATGTATAAGGGAAGAACCATTGGGACGAGAGAAGAATTGCAGAAGGGTACTAGGCAAACTTTTCGACTTATATCACCAGCTCACCTAATAAATCGTTGTAACTCGCTGTTTGATCGTTGTGTGCGCAAAAGATGTTTATAGTGTATTCAACAAGGAGGTGCTCAGTTTGAACATCTTTGATGATTTTTTTAGAAAACTATATTCGTCACTCAAAAATACGTTTTTTTAGTTTTGTTCTTTGTTTATTGTATCGATTTTAATTGTAATTACTAATATAGAATCTAAATTTACCTTTTCAAAGGTCTTTAATTATGCAGATAAATAATATAGAATATTAAATTGTGATAAAAAATAATTAGGCAAATAGCTCAACACACAAAATCAAAGCTTGCTTCGATAAAAATATAAAAAACCTAATATTTCTTTTATTTTTAGAAATAAATACACATAACTTTATATCGTTGGAAAGGGTTAAACGCCAGCATTTATTTAAGTTCATAGCCAACTATGATTTTCATTTAAAAAATTATATTTTTTATTATTTCTGACAAAAAGGGGAAGCATAGAAAAAAACTGACTACGCCACCTACACTACGACCAAGTGCCTTAAGAACGTTTTTACCGAATTTTATTTTTCCGCGAAATAAAAATGTTATGGGCAATTTTGAAAATGGTAAAAAAATCAAAAAGACCCCGTATCTCTGTTGGCAGTGAAAATATCAACAGGCGGTTTACGCCATTAAACGTGTCTCAGAAATCGAGCGCATGACATCTATGTCGGTTTTGCTCTATCTAGTCGGGAAATAGGTTTTCTCTGTTAAAACAGACCAATTCCGACCACCCTGTACATAAATTGAAGAATTGAAATATGTTAAACGAAAATTTTGTAATTTCCAGACTTGATATAGGTACTCTCATTTTATACATCTACGAGGCATGTTTTTTAAGTAAGTACCGTTTTGGAATTAAAAAAAACGTGCAAAGATATCGCAATAATTTTATTTTTACATGAAAGCCTGTACCTTAATCTACTTTTCTACATAATTTCCGTGAATATTGAGGCACTTGTCATAACGTGGCACCAGTTTTTCAATACCCTCCTCATAAAATTCTGCCGCCTGACTGGTTAACCACTGTATCACAACTGTTTTGACTTCGTTATCGTCTTGAAGACGCTGACCGCCCAGGTGTTTCTTCAAGTGCAGGAATAAATGGTAGTCACTGGGCGCCAGATCAGGGCTGTATGGAGGATGATCTAGAGTTTCCCATTTAAAAGATTTGATGAGATCTTTGGTCCGATTAGCCACATGTGGACGGGCATTGTCATGCAGCAAAACAATACCCTTACTCAACTTGCCACGTCTTTTGTTTTGGATTGCACGGCGCAGATTGTTCAATGTCTCACAATAAGATGCTGCATTGATTGTCTCATTACGAGGCAGAAACTCCACTAGCAATACTCCTTTTCTGTCCCAAAAAACTGTGCACATGATTTTCCGGGCAGAAATTGTTTGCTTAAACTTCACTGTTTTGGGTGATGATGAATGTAGCCCTTCCATTGACTGTTGTTTCGATTCTGGTGTGACGTAGGCCACCCATGTTTCGTCACCAGTAACAATTTTGTCTAAAAAATCTTCACCTTCATTGTGGTACTGCTCAAGGAAAGTCAATGCACTGCCTAAACGTTGAGTTTTGTGCAAATCCGTCAACATTTTCGGAACCCAACGTGAATACAATTTCCGGTAATTCAAGTTCTCGGTCACAATGCGATACAAAACACTACGAGAACATTGAGGAAAGTAGTCGCACAATGATGAAATTGTAAAGCGTCTGTTTTCTTTCACCTTTTCGTCCACTTTCTGCACCAAATCTCATTAACGACCGAAGGACGCCCACTCCGTTCTTCATCATGCACATTTGTGCGGCCATCTTTAAATGCTCTCACCCATTTCCTTACCATTCCATCACTCATAATGTTTTGTCCGTAAACTTCACAGATCTCACGATGAATATCGATCGGTTATACGCCTTTAGCACTAAGAAATCGTATGACAGCCCGTACTTCACAATCGGCGGGGCTCACGATTGTCGGAGGCATCTTAAACACTCAATAAACAACGTATACAATGAAGAATCAGACTGTACTGGCGTCTGTGCATAGACAAGAGATGTAGGTAACCAGCGCGCATGCGCGGAACGCCGACCGTAGCGCTACGGCGGCGGAATCGCAAAACGGTACTTACTTAAAAAACATGCCTCGTATAAATGCTAACTTGAGAACTAATATCAAATATTATTAAGTATCACAGTTTCGGCAGAATGGCATCGTTAAATGAAACTGAACATATCGATATTAATTGAATCAAATTATTTAATTGATATTTTCAAAAGTCAATAACTCGGAAACGGTTGGTTTCTGTGTATTTCGATTTCTGCTTAGAATTCAAGAAAGAACCGAAATTATTATTATTTAGATAGGAGATAAAAGGAAAATTTTTGAGGAGATAAAAAATGTAATATTTTTTATCTCCTCAATAAACATGCACCGTTGCAAAAGAAGAAAATCGCAGATAAACCATATTTACCCTGGATAACGGATAACATTAAATTATTAATC